TCTTTCAGAATTTTCCACAGTTTATTGTGATCCACACAGTTGAAGGCTTTGGCATAGTCAATAAAGCAGAAATAGATGTTTTTCTGGAACCCTCTTGCTTTTTCGATGATCCAGCAGATATTGGCAATTTGATCTCTGGTTCCTCTGCCTTTTCTAAAACCAACTTGAACATCTGGAAGTTCTTGGTTCACGTATTGCTGAAGCCTGGCTTGGAGAAGTTTGAGCATTACTTTACTAGTGTGTGAGATGAGCGCAATTGTGCGGTAGTTTGAACATTCTTTGGGATTGCCTTTCTTAGGGATTGGAATGAAAACTGACTTTTTCCAGTCCTGTGGCCACTGCTGAGTTTTCCAAATTTGCTGGCATGACCTAAGACAGCAGCAAAAAAAATTTTTTTTCTAGAAATTCATGTTAGTCCTCCAAGTCATTCAATTTAAATGTTATCATAGCCACATTCTCTTTTCTCCCCCCACACTTCTGTTAATACAAAATTGAATGGCATTGGGTGGTTTCTGTGACAGGGACAACGGATGGAGCACAGCTTGGGGAGGGGCCGTGCTGTGGGTCAGCCTGTGTGCTCTGCAGAAAGACCCGAGAGGTGGATTGAGGGCTCACTGGTGGGCCTAAAACCAATGCTTTTGGACCGTTCAGCTCAGACCCACTTAATGTTTTTTGCTCGCTCCCTGCTGAGCGCCCGCCCCAGATCAGGCCTTGGGGAGCACCCTGTTTCCCTTGACAGCTGCTCAGGGGGTCCCTGACGTGCCCGTCTGTGTCTCTGCAGGCCAGAAAGTGCTCATCACAGAGGACCTGGAGGACGTGGAGGTGCAGGAGGGCTCCTCGGCCACCTTCTGCTGCCGCATCTCCCCTGCCGACTACAGGCCTGTCCACTGGTTCTTGGACAAGACACCCCTGTCTGCCAATGAACTCAATGAGATCGAGGCCCAGCCCGGGGGCTACCACGTGCTCACCCTGAGGCAGCTGGCACTCAAGGACTCGGGCACCGTCCATTTTGAGGCAGGCGACCAGCGAACCTCAGCTGCCTTGCAGGTCACAGGTAGGTTGCAGGCCCAGCGCCCAGTGCGTGGTGGGGGCCAGTCCATATGGCTGAGCATGCAACTTCAAGGCAGTGGCTTGGCCATCTCCTGGGTGAGGCCCTGGGGCTCACAGAGAAGGAAGGCACCGTAGGCTTCTCTTGGGCTGGAGCCTTGGATCCCAGGGCTGAGTGGTGCTGTCTGAAGATATGTTGTTGTCCATGGTATGCAGAGGTGAACCCAAGGTCAGTGTGGGGGCCGGGCCACACAGAGCTCATCCTGTTCTCCCAGCAGTCCTATCTGCAGCCCAGAATGGGGGTGTAGGGGCAGGTGGGCCTGACTAGGAGTGTTGCTGGTGTGTAGCAAGACCTGGGGCTGCTCCTGCAGGAGACCCCAACAGTCTTACGCATCCCTCTCTGTCTTCAGAAAAGCCAAGTGCTTTCTCCCAGGGGCTCATGGATGCCACAGTCACAGAGGGGGAGGATCTGACCCTGGTCTGCGAGACTTCTGCCTCAGACAGCCCTGTGTGCTGGACCAAGGATGGGAAGCCCCTGCGGCCATCGGCCCGGTGCCAGCTGACCTATGAGGGCCGCCGGGCCCAGCTGGTCATCACTGAGACCACCCTGCAGGACAGCGGGCGCTACAAGTGTGAGACTGCGGGCGCCTGGAGCAGTTCCATTGTCAGGGTCCATGGTGAGCCCCGGGAGAGCGGTGCTGGGCAGCCTCCAGCTACATTCCTGACACTCTTGCCTTGCTCAGGGCCAGGGCGACTCCAGGACACTCTCTGTCCTCTTCGTGTGTGGGTGCAGGGTGTCCTAAGGCTCCTTCTGTCCCCCTGTTCGTTGATCTCACTCTGCCCGCTGGCTGCCCTGTCTCTGGGTTTCTTCTGCTCCTGAAAGCCTCTCTCAGCCTCTCCTGGTCTTCTGACCAGCAGTCTTTTTTTTTAGTGGTGCTGTCTGAAGATATGTTGTTGTCCATGGTATGCAGAGGTGAACCCAAGGTCAGTGTGGGGGCCGGGCCACACAGAGCTCATCCTGTTCTCCCAGCAGTCCTATCTGCAGCCCAGAATGGGGGTGTAGGGGCAGGTGGGCCTGACTAGGAGTGTTGCTAGTGTGTAGCAAGACCTGGGGCTGCTCCTGCAGGAGACCCCAACAGTCTTACGCATCCCTCTCTGTCTGCAGAAAAGCCAAGTGCTTTCTCCCAGGGGCTCATGGATGCCACAGTCACAGAGGGGGAGGATCTGACCCTGGTCTGCGAGACTTCTGCCTCAGACAGCCCTGTGTGCTGGACCAAGGATGGGAAGCCCCTGCGGCCATCGGCCCGGTGCCAGCTGACCTATGAGGGCCGCCGGGCCCAGCTGGTCATCACTGAGACCACCCTGCAGGACAGCGGGCGCTACAAGTGTGAGACTGCGGGCGCCTGGAGCAGTTCCATTGTCAGGGTCCATGGTGAGCCCCGGGAGAGCGGTGCTGGGCAGCCTCCAGCTACATTCCTGACACTCTTGCCTTGCTCAGGGCCAGGGCGACTCCAGGACACTCTCTGTCCTCTTCGTGTGTGGGTGCAGGGTGTCCTAAGGCTCCTTCTGTCCCCCTGTTCGTTGATCTCACTCTGCCCGCTGGCTGCCCTGTCTCTGGGTTTCTTCTGCTCCTGAAAGCCTCTCTCAGCCTCTCCTGGTCTTCTGACCAGCAGTCTTTTTTTTTTAAACTTCACTGCTGACTATCTGTGTGCTTACGTTACCACGTTTTCCTTCTCTTGGCTTGGCTCATCTCTGTCTCAGGTGGCTTGACCTCGCTACCAAATGCCACAGACTGGGTGGCTTAAAAGACAGACATTTATTGTCTCCTAGGTTTGGAGACCAGAAGTCTGAGATCAAGGTGTTGTAGGCCTGGTTTCCCTTGAGGCCCCTCTCCTGGGCTTATAGATGGCCATCTTTCCCCTGTGTCTTCACCTGGTCGTCCCTCTGTGTGCATCTGTGTGCTAGTTCCCATTTCTTGTAAGGACACCAATAATTTGGGAATAAGACCCATTCTACTGACCTAATTTAACTCAGTCGTCTCTTTCAAGACCCCTATCTCCAAATATGGCTGCATTCTTTGGTCCTGAGGGTTCGGGCTCCAGCAGGTGAACTGGGGGATTAAATGTCGCCCGTAACACCCCACCCTCCTCTGCTTCGTGCTGTTTGGCTCACCCTCCTGGATAGGCAGAGGTCTCGAGGTCCCCATCCCTAGTCCCCCGTGCAGACAGCGAGATGGGCCTGCCTGCCTCTGCCGGGTGCTGCCCTCCGCCATCCTCAGCCGTGTGGGCCATGCTGACTGAGCTCATGGCTGTCCACAGCTCGGCCAGCGCAGTTCCGAGAGGGCCTGACGGACGTGGAGGTGCTGGAGGGGGGTGCCGCCACCCTGCGCTGCGTGCTCTCGTCCGTGGTCAGGCCTGTGGAGTGGCGGCGTGGGGACGAGCTTCTGCAGCCTGGAGGCAAGTACAGCTTGCGACAGGACGGGACGGTGCTGGAGCTGGTGGTCCGAGACCTGCGGCCTCAGGACAGTGGGCAGTACTTCTGCAGTTTTGGGGACCAGATGACGTCGGCCAGGCTCACCGTAAAGGGTAAGCATCTTCAGCCACTCTGCTCACGTGACACCACACTGCCCCTTTCATCCTTTGTGGGAGGATGAAGGTGATGTGCTGGACACATTGGACACATTGGATCTTGTTGCAGCTCTGCCTGCTGAGTTCATAGGAAGACTGAGAAACAAGGAGGTGGCGGAAGGGACCACGGCCACATTCCGCTGTGAACTCAGCAAGGAAGCCCCCGTGGAGTGGAGGAAGGGGCCCGAGACCCTCAGAGCCGGGGACAGAGTGAGCCTGAGGCAGGACGGGGCCATGTGTGAGCTGGAGATCCGTGAGCTGACCGTGGAGGATGGTGGAGAATATTCATGCATGTGCGGGCAGGAGAAGACCTCAGCCACGCTCACCGTCAGGGGTAAAAACCATGTGTGGCCAGGAGGAGCTGTGCTTTGGTGTCCAGTTACTGACTTCGTGTCGTCTCCGTGCCCTCATCACACCTTCCCTCCTCGTCTCAGCGTCACCCTCTTCCTGTAACTCCCCAGAACGCCTTCCTCCTTCCTGGGCTGCTGTGTGAACCACGAGAACCAGCCTCTGAGCTGCGTTCCAGCTCTCGTGTCCCTGCAGGTTCTGTCCTGTGTCCTGTGGGAGCGTCTGTCTTCTTCTATGTCTTGTCATGCCTTGCCTTCAGAGTTCTCCCAAGACTCTGATATTCATGTCTCTCTGTCCTCAGCTTTGCCTGCTGAGTTCACAAGAAGACTGAGAGGCAAGGAGGCCACAGAAGGGGCCACAGTCACCCTGCACTGTGAGCTGAGCAAGGCAGCCCCCGTGGAGTGGAGGAAGGGGTCTGAGACCCTCCGAGCCGGGGACCGAGTGAGCCTGAAGCAGGAGGGAGCCGTGTGTGAGCTGGAGATCCGTGACCTGACCGTGGAGGATGCTGGGGAGTACTCGTGTGTGTGTGGGCAGGAGATGACCTCAGCCACGCTCACCGTCAGGGGTAAAGACCACGTCGGCCTGTGGAGCAGAGGCTTCGTGTCTGCGGGCTTTGATGTGTCCTCCAGCTCCACCCTGTCTGTCTGCAGTCTCTTGTGTCTCTGCGCATCTCCTGCACTCTTGGAGCAGGAGTCTCAGTCTCCCTCCCTTCTCTGAGGCCCACCTCAGATAACAAGCCGAGAATAAGGTCCTCACTGTCCTCAGGGGCTCGCGTCTGAGAACGAGGAGGCAGGCAGCCACATAGGAAAAGCACAGCATTGCGGTCCTCTCGAGGGAACATGACAGGAGAGATGCTGGGAGCTGGATGAGAGCGCGGCCCTTGAGCGTGGGGTGTTGACGGGGTGCTGAGAGGGAAGTCTGTGAGAGAGCCGGGAGGGGAGGGCCTGGGGTCCCCTGTCCAGTGTCTGGTGGTTATGGGAGGTGAGCACGGGGTGTGGGGGACGGGGAGACGTGCTGGAGTTTGGGTTGATGTGGAGGGGACGCCTGGATGTGGAGGTGAGGTGGCGTTTGAAGTGAAAGTGCATTGAGAGTGGGAGTTGGCTGTGGAGGTGAGGCGGAGGTGAGACGGGAGGTGAGGTCTGGGTGTAGAGTGGAGTGGACAGCGCTTGCCCACGGCAGGAGAGGGAGGAGGCATGGGACGCCACAGTGGGGAGCTGAGCCAGACCCAGGAAGGCAGGTGGGCACCCACGCTGGGCTCGGGGTCAGTGTCTGGCGTCTGTGGTGGGTGAGCTGACTCCAGACGCTGCCATTGAAGGTCTTCTGTCAAGGTGTGATGTGACCTCCCAGAGCAAAAGGTGCAGAGAGGCCTCACATTCTGGGCCCTGTTGGGGTGAACTCATGAGACAAGGTGGAACAGTAAAGAAGAGGATTCTGAGGCTGGGCAGGGCCATTGTGAACACAGATACTCAGATCTCTGGGTAGAGATCAGGCCACGATGCCACCTTCATGAATGAGCTTCATGAGTGGAGCATAGCATCTCTAGCACAGAGACACTGGTACCCACACTGTTCAGACTCACCAGGAGACCACAAAGGGTGTGGACTTGGAGGCCTGTCACATAGGCAGGAGCAGCTTCCACTGCAGGAAGGAAGCACCGCCAAGGGCTGAGGACCAAAGAACCTAGTGGCGCTCGTGGTAAAGACCCCACCTGCCAGTGCTGGAGACACCAGAGACTCAGGTTTGATCTCTGGGTTGGGAAGAAACCCTGGAGGAGGGCATGGCAACGCACTCCAATATTCTTCCCTTTGAAACGCCATGGACAGAGGAGGCTAGCGGGCCACAGTCCACGGGATCAGACACAGCTGAAGAGTCAGCCACAGCTGAAGCGACTGAGCAAGCCTGCAGAGTGCTCAAGTTAACCAGCGACAAGCAGTCCAAGAGAGCGGCTTCTCAGAATGTGCAGACCCCAGGGACTCCTACTCCAGGGCGACAGGGCAGGAGTGGGGTGGCTTCTGCTTCCCTTCTGGCCATGGTGCTCCTTGTTCTGTCTGCTTTTCAGGCCCTGTCAGCCCTGGGCTCTGGCCCCAGCAACAGTAGGAGCTGACAAGGGGGGTATGCTGGGGTAGACGTGTGGGATAGTTTAGGTAGCTCTTTTTGTATCTCCGTTCCCAGCTATATCCCTCAAGATCATAAAGTCACTAAAGAATAAGGCCTGGAGGGGGCCATGGCCATGGTGTGGTGTAAGCTGGGCCATGGAAGATGCTGGAGGACATCCGTTCCAATTTATCGTCACTTTTCTGCTGTGGCCATTTCCATGTTCTGTCCATGCCATGAGGTCCTCCCCGAGGAGTCCGTTTCCGTGCTGGTTTGTCTGTCCTCTGCACACGCTCCACCCCAGCACTGCTACCTACCCATGTGTCTGGGCCTAAGCTTTTATTCCTCATTTGCTCCAACGTGTGACTGTTCCATTGTCAAGTGTCCACATCCTGATCCCCTACGTTTTCCAGAGACTCTGATGTTTCCTTTGTCACTCTGACCCTGCCCAGCCCTGCCCACCAAGTTCACAAGGGGCCTGAAGAAGGAGGAGGCCACAGAAGGGTCCACAGTCACACTGCGCTGTGAGCTGAGCAAGGCGGCCCCCGTGGAGTGGAGGAAGGGGCCTGAGACGCTCAGAGCCGGGGACAGAGTGAGCCTGAAGCAGGAGGGAGCTGTGTGTGAGCTGGAGATCCGTGGCCTGACCATGGAGGATACAGGGGAGTACTCCTGCGTGTGTGGGCAGGAGAGGACCTCAGCCACACTCACCATCAAGGGTAAAGGCCGTCAGAGGCCACAGGGACCTGTGGCTTCATGTTTGCATGTGGTCTCTGTCACTGGCTCCACCGCAGGATTCTGTGGCTTTTTCTATCTTTTCACCTGGGTCCCTGCAGATGTCTCTTGGCTCCGGGCTCCTTGTTCAGTAGATGTGATTGTCCAGTGCTGTGTGTCGTCTGTTCCCTCTGGACGTTTGCCTCCATCACCATCTGTGCATCTCTTTACTTGTTTGTACTGTGGTCTTTTGCCGTTTGTGGGGTTTTGTGTTCTGGAGAGAGTTACCCTGAGAGTCTGATGTTCTCAGTGACTTCGTAGTCCTCCTCAGCCCTGCCTGCCAAGCTCACAAAGGGTCTGAACCATGAAGAGGCCATGGAAGGGACCACAGCCATACTGTGCTGTGAGCTGAGCAGGGTGGTCCATGAGGACTGGAGGATTGGACCGAAACCCTGGAGATGGAAATAAGACTGTGCCTGAGGCAGGATGGGGCAGCGTGTGAGCTGGGGATCATGGCTTGGCTATAATGGTTGCAGGGGACTGTGTGGGGGCAGGAGAGGTCTTTGGCCAGGCTCGTTGTCAGGGGTGAGGACTGCATGTGACCACCTGGACTGCTGTTTGGTGGCTGCCGACCTGAAGCTCCAGCACTTTGGCCACCTGATGGAAAGAGCTGACTCGTTGGAAAAGACCCTGATGCGGGAAAAGGTGGAAGGCAGGAAGAGAGAGGGATGACAGAGGATGAGATGGTTGGATGGCATCACCCACTCAATGGATATGAATTTGAGAAAACTCCAGGAGATGGTGAAGGACAGGGAAGCCTGACATGCTGGAGTCCACGGGGTTGCAAAGAGTTGGACACAGTTTAATCACTGAACAACGACGTAATCATCTCTTTGCCCTCAGTGCCTGAGGCAGGATGGGGCAGCGTGTGAGCTGGGGATCATGGCTTGGCTATAATGGTTGCAGGGGACTGTGTGGGGGCAGGAGAGGTCTTTGGTCAGGCTCGTTGTCAGGGGTGAGGACTGCATGTGACCACCTGGACTGGTGTTTGGTGGCTGCCGACCTGAAGCTCCAGCACTTTGGCCACCTGATGGAAAGAGCTGACTCGTTGGAAAAGACCCTGATGTGGGAAAAGATGGAAGGCAGGAAGAGAGAGGGATGACAGAGGATGAGATGGTTGGATGGCATCACCCACTCAATGGATATGAATTTGAGAAAACTTCAGGAGATGGTGAAGAACAGGGAAGCCTGACATGCTGGAGTCCACGGGGTTGCAAAGAATTGGACACAGTTTAATCACTGAACAACGATGTAATCATCTCTTTGCCCTCAGTTCCCTTTTCTGCCTTGCTGACTCACTGTCCTGCTCCTTTTCCTCCCATGATTGTTCTGTTCTCCCTGTCATGTTCCGTGTCTGTTCTGTAGCACGTGTGCAGGTTGGACCTTTTAAAGTCACAGTCACGGTGCATACTGGCACCCCCAGCAGGTGGTCCAAGTCCAGTTGGGTTTTGTGTCTTCTCTGTATCCTGTTGCTTCTGTGAGTTCAGGAAGTGTGATCATGTTTGTGTCTTTCTGGCCACCTCCAGTCCTGCCTGCCAAGTTCATAAAGGGTCTGAGGAAGGAAGAGGCCACAGAAGGGACCACAGCCAAGCTGCACTGTGAGCTGAGCAAGGCGGCCCCTGTAGAGTGGAAGAAGGGGTCTGAGATCCTCAGAGCTGGGGACAGAGTGAGCCTGAGGCAAGATGGAGCCGTGTGTGAGCTGGAGATCTGTGACCTGACCATGAAGGATGCTGGGGAGTACTCGTGTGTGTGCGGGAAGGAGAAAACCTCAGCCATGCTCACCGTCAGGGGTAAAGACCATGTGTGGCCAAGCAGAGCTGCGTTTAGTGTCCAGTTACTGACTTATGGCATCTTGCACTCATCCCACCTTCCCTCCTCATCTCAGCATCACCGTTTCCCCATGAGCAGTGCTGTGCTGTGCTAAGTCGCTTCAGTTGTGTCTCTTTAGGGACCCTATGGACCTTAGCCCAACAGGCTCCTCTGTCCGTGAGATCCTCCAGGCAAGAATACTGGAGTGGGTTGCCATGCCCTCCTCCAGGGGATCTTCCTGACGCAGGGATCGAACCTGTGTCTCTTGCTTGGCAGGCTTATTCTTTACCACTGAGCCACCGGGGTAGGCCCCTTCTTCCCATAACTTCGTGGATTTCCTTCCTCCTTCCCAGGCTGTTGTGTGAACCGCAGGGAACCAGCCTCTGAGCTGCTTCCCACCCCTCGTGTCACTGAATGTTCTGTCCTGCGTCCTGTTGGGGTCTGCATCTTTCACTCCATCCTGTCCCATCCTGTCCCCCAGGGAGCTCTAGAGAATCGGGCATTCTCCACACCTTCTAACCTCTCCTGCCCTGCTCACCAGATGCACAGGCGTGAGGGCTGAGGAGTCTGTGGACGGGGTCACGGGCACGCTGAGCGAACTGGGCTGAGGGGGCCGTGGTCCAGCGTGTGCGCCTGGGACACCCAGCCTGTGGCTTGTGTCCAGTTGGGTCTTGTGTCTTCTCTATGATGTCCAGGACCTATCTCATCAGTGGGTTCAGAGAGCATTATAGTGTTCGTGTCTTTCTACCCATCTCCAGCCCTGCCTGCCAAGTTCACAAAGGGCCTGAGAAAGGAGGAGGCCATGGAAGGGACCACAGCCAAGCTGCACTGTGAGCTGAGCAAGGTGGCCCCCGTGGAGTGGAGGAAGGGGCCCGAGACCCTCAGAGCCGGAGACAGAGTGAGCCTGAGGCAGGAGGGAGCCGTGTGTGAGCTGGAGATCCGTGACCTGACCGTGGAGGATGCTGGGGAGTACTCGTGCGTGTGTGGGCAGGAGAAGACCTCAGCCACGCTCACCGTCAGGGGTAAAGACTGTGTGTGGCCATAAGGACTGGCATTTGGTGACTGCCTGTCATCACTCTGCTGCTAGTTCACCAGCCTGCTCCTTTTCCTTCCTTAATTATTTTCTTTGTCTCGGTCATGATCTCTTGTCTGTTCTGTGGCACGTGCGCAGGTTGCGCATTTTAAAATCACAGTCATGTTCACAGTGTGTTCTGGCACACCCAGCAGGTAGTCCAAGTCCCGCTGGGTTTGGGGTCTTCTGTGTACTTCCCACATCCTGTTTTCTTCTGTGTGTTCAGAGATCCTGATCGTGTTTGTGTGTTTCTGCCCATCTCCAGCCCTGCCTGCCAAGTTCATAAAAGCTATGAAGAAGGAAGAGGCCATGGAAGGGGCCACAGCTAAGCTGTGCTGTGAGCTGAGCAAGGCGGCCCCCGTGGAGTGGAGGAAGGGGCCTGAGACCCTCAGAGCCGGGGACAGAGTGAGCCTGAGGCAGGAGGGGGCCATGTGTGAGCTGGAGATCCGTGAGCTGACCGTGGAGGATGCTGGGGAGTACTCATGTGTGTGCGGGCAGGAGAAAACCTCAGCCACACTCACCGTCAGGGGTAAAGATCGTGTGTGGCCATAGGGACTGGCGTTTGGTGGCTGCTGTCGGCCCTCTGCTCTCTGTTCTCCTTTCTGCCCCGTTCCTTTTCCTTTCCTAGCCGTTCTGTTCTCCCTGCCGTGTTCCCCGCTGTTCTGTGGTGCGTGTACAGGCTGGACCTGGTAAAGTCAGCATGTATGCTGGCAGCCCCGGCATACCTGTGTCCAGCTGGGTCGTGTGTGTCCTGTGTACCCTCCATGTCCTACCTCACCTGTGTGTACAGGGCGCCTGAGCATCTGTGTCTGTCTGCCTATCTCTAGCCCTGCCTGCCAAGTTCACGAAGAGTCTGAGGAAGGAGGAGGCCATGGAAGGGGCCACAGCCAAGCTGCGCTGTGAGCTGAGCAAGGCGGCCCCAACTTGCTTCCCAACAGTTCCCCAGAGAATCTCATGGTGTCCATGTCACTGGCGCTCCCAGCCCTGCCTATCAGCTGAACACCGTGTCTGAGGCCCAAGGCGTCCCCTGAAGGGGCTGCGCTGAGGGAAGGCCCACCCGCGGTGTGTCCTTGGCCCACCCCAAGCATGGCCCATGTCCACTTGGGTTTCGTGTTTCCTCAGTTCTTTTTACCTCGTGTCTTCACTGCATGTTCACCTAGTGTGATTGCGTGTTTGTCTTTCTGCCCAGTCCTGCCCACCAGTTTCACAAAGCACCTGAGGAACAAAAAGGCCACAGAAGGGGCCACAACCACCCTGCACTGTGAGCTGAGCAAGGCGGCCCCTGTGCAGTGGAGGAAGGAGCCTGAACTCCTCACATACAGAGCGTAGTGAGCCTGGGGCAGGACGGGGCCACGTGTGAGCTGGAGCTCCATGGCCTGGTCGTGGTGGACCCTGTGGGGTGTGTGGGCAGGAAAGTGCCTCGGCCACACTGGTGTCACAGGTAAACACCGCACGTGGCCACGCTCGTGACTTCCTTCTGCCATTCGGAACGTGCTCTCCCAGCGCTACTGTTGTCTCAGGGTTACAACCCTTTTCACGAAAACACTGGCCAACCCTGTCTGGGCCCTGTGGGTACAGACCCCAGGGGTGCGTGGTGCAAGGACACCCTCAAGGAGGCACCAGCAAGCAAGCATTGTGGTTCAGAGAGCGGCCCTCAGCCACAGCTGAGGCTGAGGGGGTGTGTGGGCTCTGGGCCCCAGGTGTGCAGTGGGGTCGCTCATGCTGGTGACAGAGCTGTGCCGCAGGACTGAGGTGCAGTGTTTGGCAGTTCAGGGAGCAGGTGGCAGACAGGCCAGGCCCTCCTGTGTTGTGCTAATCAGACAGCATTTGATTGACCTTGGAGATTGTGTGCAGCCTCTAAAGAGCTGTGTCTCAGAAAACTTGGGCTGTGTAACAAATACCACATACAGGTGACTTACAACGCACATTTATTGTTTCATAGTCCTGGAGGTTGGGAGTCCAAGATCAAGGTGTCCACGGGAGATTTCTCTCCTTGGCTTGTAACTGGCCATGTTCTTTCTTTGTCCTCACCTGGTTATCCTTTTGTGTGTCCTGTGTTCTAATCTTCTCTTCTTATAGGAACACTTATAAGTCAATTTGAATTAGTCACCCTCCCGGTAACTCCATTCTACCCTAATTACCTCTATGAAAACCTTATTTCCAAATAAATTCACCTTCTTAGCTGCTGAGGGTTAAGACTTCAGTATGTAAATTTGAGGGGAGACATGATTCAGTCCATAAAGATTTGGACCATAAAGAAAGCTGAGCACCGAAGAATTAATACTTTTAAGCTGTAGTTTTGGAGAAGACTCTTGAGAATCCCTTGGACAACAAGGAGATTAAACCAGTCAATCCTAAAGGAAATCAGTCCTGAATGTCCATTGGAAGGACTGATACTGAAGCTGAAGCTCCAATACTTTGGCCACCTGATGCGAAGAGCTGACTCATTTGAAAAGACCCTGATGCTGGGAAAGTTCAAGGTCAGGAGAAGGGCACGACAGAGGATGAGATGGTTGGATAGCATCAGTGACTTGATGAACATGAGTTTGAGCAAGCTCCAAGAGTTGGTGATGGACAGGGAAGCCTGCTACAGTTCATGGGGTCACAAAGAATTGGACATGACTGACCGAGAAGAAAAATGTTTCAGTCCAGAACACTCGGTTTCTTGCCCCCAAAATGCATGTTCTGACATGCAGAGTACATTTACCCCAAACCCCCAAATTTTAATCTATTTTAGTGTCAGGCTAAATCCAAAGTCTAATCTAAATCTCATCTAAATCAAGTGTGTGTGAGATTGGAGGTATGATTCATCCTGAGGCAGAATTCCTCTGCAGTTATAAACCCGAAACATCAGACCAAGTTATGTGCTTCCAAAATACTTCAGTGGAACAGGCATGGGGTAGATGTCCCCATTGTAAAAGAAAGAAATAGGAAAGAAGAAAGAGGCCACTGGTTCCACAGAAATCTGGTACCTAGTAAGGACAAATTCTGTGAGATTTTCAAGATTAGAGAATGACCCTCTGGCTCAATGCCCTGACTTCTGGGCCCTGCACAGAGGTGGCCCTCTGGGACCATGGATGCAGTGGCGGCCTTGCCTTTGGGGTTATTCCCAACTTTGAAGGATAGAACATGTCCCCGCTGCATAGCTGTACTGACCCACCCGCTAGACATCCCATCTTCCATCCTGTCCCTTCGGAGTCTGATTGTCGTGGCTGGCAGTGTTTCTGCTGATACAAAGTTCTCAGAAGCCTTGTTGGTCTCCTTTATAATTCATAGCAGAACAAGGTTTCAGACAAGAGAGTCTTCCACACAGCCTCCTGGGTGATTCCATTTCTGTTCCTGGCTTTTCTAAGATGGCTATTGGATCTGAGACTCACACATAAAATCTCTTTACCAAATGATTTCCAACCACACACTTGGTATTCTCTCTAGAACAGGTGTTCTGTCTTATTTTTTTGAAATTTCAGTGGGCTGAAAATTTTCTGAAGCATCAGTGTTTGGTTTCTCTTTGTTTAAATACTTCCTTCTTCACTATAACTCTTTCCTCTTATATTTTACCATAAGCAACAAGGAGCAGTCTGCGCCTTCAATGCTTGGCTTAGGAATTACCTCAGCTAAAAATACCCAAGTTCACTTGTAAGTTCTACCTTCCATAAAACTCTGGGACACACAATTCAGCCAAATTCTTCACTGCTTTATAAAAGGATTGGCTTCCTTCCAGTTTCCAATAATGCAATTCTGTATGAGGCCTCACCAGGAGCACCTTTAGAATCCATATTTCTGCTGTAATTATCTTCAAGCAATCTCGATTTATCTAACATGCACCTCAGAACCTTCCAGTTTCCACCCATCACCCAGTTCCAAAGAGAATTCCATAATTCTAGGTGTTTGTTACAGTAACAGCCCATTCCTGGTACCAAAATCTAAATGGCTTAACAGTATAGTAGTGGCTTAAACATCAGAAGATGGTTTCCTCCTAGCCCTAGAAGCTAAGTCTGAGGCTGTTTCTCTCGAGACCTCTCTCCTAGGCCTGTAGATGGCCATCATCTTTCCATTCCCTCATGTGGGCATCCCTCTCTGTATCTGTGTCGTAATATCCTCTTTTTATAAGGAGACCAGTCATGTTGGGTTAGGTTCCACCCCACTGGGCTCATTCACCTCAGTTACCTCTTCAAATATATCTCCATTCTGTGTCCTGAGGTTAGAGCCCCAACGTACGAATTTTGAGGGATGTGATTCAGGCCACAGCAGGGTGTAACCAGGATGAGCCATGATCAGCTGTAACTTGTGAAGTTCACACTCTGCCTGGAATTGGGATGGAAGAGAGGACTGCAGGTTGGAGGGCTAGGGGGCAGTGTTAGAAGGCCAAGGCTGGAATCCACTGGGATCTAAGAGATCTGAGTCAGGAGAGTGGGGGTCCAGTGGGGTCAGGAAAGGAATGTGTAAGGTGAATAAGGTGGGAGCTGGTGAAGGCAGGGAAGGCCTGCAGTGTGCCCAGATGTGGGCAACATGTGATTGATGTCTTACCTGGGATGGAAAGCACAAATGGAAAGCCTGGAAAGCCTCCTGGTAGTTCTTCCAGGAGAGTTGTCCATTGCATTGTTGCATGTGTAAGTTGTGAGCTGAAAGAGCATGGTTTGGACTCTGGGTGTAGGTGAGGTAGGCCGTTAGACAATATGAAAAGATATAAGTAGGACAGATGAACTCTGAGAAAAAAAGAGGCCTGGATGGAGCCAATCTCTTGCGACCTGCAACTTACTGAGCAACGTGGAGAGGATTGCACTGTCACACATGCTCTGGTCTGCATCATTGCACGTCTTCCACCCATCCTGCATCTACCCATCCTGAATGTTCAGGTCAGACCCCCACTCACTCCTTTATGGGTTTTGATGGCTTCTGTCCATCTAACTCTCTGCAGCCATGCCTGCTCAGTTCATCAAAGAACTGAAGACCAAGGAGGCCACAGAAGGAGCCACAGCCACACTGCACTGTGAGCTGAGCAAGGTGGCCCCCGTGGAGTGGAGGAAGGGGCCGGAGACCGTCAGAGCTGGAGACAGAGTGATCCTGAGGCAGGAGGGAGCCGTGTGTGAGCTGGAGATCCGTGACCTGACCGTGGAGGATGCTGGAAAGTACTCGTGCGTGTGCGGGCAGGAGACGACCTCAGCCATGCTCACCGTCAGGGGTAAAGACCATGTGTGACCACATGGGCTGGTGTTTGGTGGCTGGCCTTCATCTCTCTGCTCCCAGTCCCCTTTTCTGCCCTGCTCTCTCACTGTCCTGCTCCTTTTGCTTCCACAATTACTTTTGTTTCTGTCATGCTTCTTGCTTGTCATTCAGATCAGAACTGTTAAAGTCACAGTCAGAGTGTGTGCTGGGCACGACCAGCAGATGGGCCCCGTCCAGCTGAGTTCTGTGTCTGCAGAGTGGTGTCCAAGGCCTGTTTCTTCTGTGTACAGAAAGTGACAGTCTCTCTGTCTTTCCGACCATCTCCAGCCCTGCCTGCCAAGTTTGCAAAAGGTTTGGGAAAGGAAGAGGCTGTGGAAGGGGCCACAACCAAGCTGCGCTGTGAGCTGAGCAAGGCGGCCCCCGTGGAGTGGAGGAAGGGGCCCGAGACCCTCAGAGCTGCAGACAGAGTGAGCCTGAGGCAGGATGGGGCCGTGTGTGAGCTGGAGATCCGTGAGCTGACCGTGGAGGATGCTGGGGAGTACTCATGCGTGTGCGGGCAGGAGAAGACCTCAGCCACGCTCACCGTCAGGGGTAAAGACCACGTGTGGCCAGGAGGAGCTGTGCTTTGGTGTCCAGTTACTGACTCATGGCATCTTGCACTCATCCCTCCTCATCTCAGCCTTACCCTCTTCCCGTAACTCCCCAGAATTCCTCCCTCCTTCCTGGGCTGTTGTGTGAACCGCAGGGAACCAGCCTCTGAGCTGCTTCCCACCCCTCGTGTCACTGAAGGTTCTGTCCTGCGTCCTGCTGGGGTCTGTGTGTTTCACTCCATCCTGTCCCATCCTGTCCCCCAGGGAGCTCTGCAGAATCGGGTGTTCTCCACACCTAACCTCTCCTGCCCTGCCCACCAGATTCACAGATGTGAGGCCTGAGGGGTCTGTGGACGGGGTCATGGGCACGCTGAGCGGACTGGGCTGAGGGGGCCATGGTCCAGCGTGTGTGCCTGGGACACCCAGCCTGTGGCCTGTGTCCAGCTGGGTCTTGTGTCTTCTGTGTACTGCCTGCTTCCTGCTTCATCTGTGTGTACAGGCCACCTGAGAGTCTCTGTCTGTCTGCTCATCTCCAGCCCTGCCTGCCAAGTTCACAAAGGGTCTGAGGAAGGAGGAGGCCGTGGAAGGGGCCACAGCCAAGCTGCGATGTGAGCTGAGCAAGTTGGCCCCCGTGGAGTGGAGGAAGGGGCCCAAGACCCTCAGAGCCGGAGACAGAGTGAGCCTGAGGCAGGAGGGAGCCGTGTGTGAGCTGGAGATCCGTGACCTGACCGTGGAGGATGCTGGGGAGTACTCGTGCGTGTGTGGGCAGGAGAAGACCTCAGCCACGCTCACCGTCAGGGGTAAAGACTGTGTGTGGCCATAAGGACTGGCATTTGGTGACTGCCTGTCATCACTCTGCTGCTAGTTCACCAGCCTGCTCCTTTTCCTTCCTTAATTATTTTCTTTGTCTCGGTCATGATCTCTTGTCTGTTCTGTGGCACGTGCGCAGGTTGCGCATTTTAAAATCACAGTCATGTTCACAGTGTGTTCTGGCACACCCAGCAGGTAGTCCAAGTCCCGCTGGGTTTGGGGTCTTATCTTCTATGTACTTCCCACATCCTGTTTTCTTCTGTGTGTTCAGAGATCCTGATCGTGTTTGTGTGTTTCTGCCCATCTCCAGCCCTGCCTGCCAAGTTCATAAAAGCTATGAAGAAGGAAGAGGCCATGGAAGGGGCCACAGCTAAGCTGTGCTGTGAGCTGAGCAAGGCGGCCCCCGTGGAGTGGAGGAAGGGGCCTGAGACCCTCAGAGCCGGGGACAGAGTGAGCCTGAGGCAGGAGGGGGCCATGTGTGAGCTGGAGATCCGTGAGCTGACCGTGGAGGATGCTGGGGAGTACTCATGTGTGTGCGGGCAGGAGAAAACCTCAGCCACACTCACCGTCAGGGGTAAAGATCGTGTGTGGCCATAGGGACTGGCGTTTGGTGGCTGCTGTCGGCCCTCTGCTCTCTGTTCTCCTTTCTGCCCCGTTCCTTTTCCTTTCCTAGCCGTTCTGTTCTCCCTGCCGTGTTCCCCGCTGTTCTGTGGTGCGTGTACAGGCTGGACCTGGTAAAGTCAGCATGTATGCTGGCAGCCCCGGCATACCTGTGTCCAGCTGGGTCGTGTGTGTCCTGTGTACCCTCCATGTCCTACCTCACCTGTGTGTACAGGGCGCCTGAGCATCTGTGTCTGTCTGCCTATCTCTAGCCCTGCCTGCCAAGTTCACGAAGAGTCTGAGGAAGGAGGAGGCCATGGAAGGGGCCACAGCCAAGCTGCGCTGTGAGCTGAGCAAGGCGGCCCCTGTGGAGTGGAGGAAGGGGCCCGAGACCCTCAGAGCTGGAAAGAGACTGCGGGTGAAGCAGGAGGGAGCCGTCTGTGAGCTGGAGATCCGTGACCTGACCGTGGAGGACGCTGGGGAGTACTCATGTGTGTGCGGGCAGGAGAAGACCTCAGCCACGCTCACCATCAGGGGTAAAGACCATGTGTGACCAGGAGGAGCTGTGCTTTGGTGTCCAGTTACTGACTTCGTGTCATCTACCTGCACTCACCCCACCTTCCCTACTCGTCTCAGCATCATCCTCTTCCCGTAACTCCCCAGAACTCCTTCCGCCTCCTGGGCTGTTGTGTGAACCACGAGAAACCAGCCTCCCAGCTGCTTTCCAGCTCTTGTATCACTGCAGGTTCCGTCCTATGTCCTGTGGGCAGCTGTGTCTTTTCCTCTGCCTTGTCACTTCCTGCTTTCAAAATTCCCCCGAAACTCTGATGCTTGCATTTTCTTACTGTGTTCAGCTTTACCAGCTGAGTTCATAGGGAGGCTGAGAAGCAAGGAGGCCACAGAAGGGGCCACAGTCACCCTGCACTGTGAGCTGAGCAAGGCGGCCCCTGTGGAGTGGAGGAAGGGGTCTGAGACCCTCCGAGCCGGGGACAGAGTGAGCCTGAGGCAGGACGGAGCCGAGTGTGAGCTGGAGATCCGTGAGCTGGTTTTGACGGATGCTGGGGAGTACTCGTGTGTGTGCGGGCAGGAGAGGACCTCGGCCGCGCTGACAGTCATGGGTAAGGATGGGCTTGCGGGCTCACTTGGGAGCCTCGCGTGGGCACCCGTCTCCTCTGGGTCTTGTGCAGCTTCAGTCTGTCGCCCGTGTGCCCTCTGCCAGTCTCTGTTCAATGTCCTCATGTCTGGGTTCTGCTCTCCACTCAGATGACCTGCCCTGGCTTACCCTTGTGTGTGGATGGAATTCCCACCTTATCCCCCTCCCCTCCGTGTCCTAATGCAGCCCACATTTTCCCCATGCTCCACAGCCTCGAGGCAGGATCTGGGGGTCGTGGCCCTGCCCTGGTAGTGTACGGAGATTCCCCCTTTCCTGCCTCAGTGGCCAGGAGGGACACAGGCCTGTCTGTGGGCTTCCTGGGTGGAGGTCAGCGTGAGAATCACCTGCGTCAGATCCAGAATTCCTTTCACGGCCCCCACTGCAGTCCCTGCTTTCCCTTCAAGGAGACCCTGGCCCGTGACCCCACTCCCACCCCGATCCTCCAGAGGAGCCTGAGGCAGTGGGTCCCGTGGGCGGGGGAGGCGGGCCTGGCCAAGGCCCTCAGCGGGTCTGACTGGATTTGGGGTGCCAGCCGCCTGTCTGGGCGGCTGGGCCCCGTCTTGGGGCTGCCCTTCCCTCTCCCCCGCACCCCTGATCCCCACTCTGCAGCCCCACAGGTGGTGTTCCGGAAGCCGCTGCGGAGCCTGCAGGCTGAGGAGGGTGCCTCTGCCAGCCTGCAGTGTGAGCTCGCCGAGCCTGGGGCCACCGTCGTCTGGAGCAAGGGTGGCCTGGAGGTGCAGGCTGACGAGCGCCGGGAGCCTCGGCGGCGGGGCTGCGTGGCGGAGCTTGTGCTGAGGGGCTTGCGCCGGGAGGACACGGGCGAGTACACCTGCAGCTGCGGCTCCCAGGCCACGAGCGCCACCCTGTCCGTCACAGGTGGGCGCCCAGGCCGGCCCCGCCCGGGGGAGGTGACCCGGCTCCACGGGGTGGGCAGACCCGGGGTGGCGCCCCCCCCGCCCGCTGCCATCCCGTGGCCCCCTGCCCCCATAGCTGCTCCCGCCCTCACGTGCTGCTCCCCTCCGCAGCTGCGCCCGTGAGGTTCCTGCGAGAGCTGCAGGCCCAGGAGGTGGACGAGGGCGCGACGGCACGCCTGCGCTGCGAGCTCAGCCGGGCGTGCAGCAGCGTGGAGTGGCGCAAGGGCTCCCTGCAGCTCTTCCCGTGTGCCAAGTACCAGATGGTGCTGGAGGGCACAGCCGCGGAGCTGCTGCTGCACGGCGCCGAGCCGGAGGACGCTGGCCTCTACACCTGTGACACGGGCCACGCGCAGAGCTCCGCCTGCGTCTCTGTGCGGGGTGAGCCTCCCGCTGGGCCCTGCCCCCCCCCCAGCCCCCGGGCCACCCTGAAACCGGCAGGCCCCCCGATCAGCAGCTCTGAGCGCCCCTCCCTGCTCCCCCCAGCCCCCAGGCCCGTGTTTAAGACGGAGCTGCAGAGTGCCGAGCAGGAGGCGGGCGGCGTGGCCCGGCTGTGCTGCCAGCTGAGTGATGCGGAGGCTGGGGTCCCCGTGCTGTGGCTCAAGGAGGGTGCGGAGCTGCACGCGAGCCCCAAGTATGAGATGCGGCGCCAGGGGGCCACGTGTGAGCTGCTGATCCACGGGCTTGAGGCCGAGGACGTGGGCGAGTACAGCTGCGTGGCAGGCAGCCAGAAAACCGTGGCCTTCCTCAAAGTCAAAGGTGAGTGCCCCCTGCCGCACCCACTGCCCTCACAGCCCCCTCACGGGCCCCCTGGCTCCCTCACCAGGTGCAGTTCCGGGGTGGCGCTCAGACCTTTGGGGGTACAGGCTTTCCGTGCTCACGTCTGCACCACCCTGTGCTGATGTCCCTAGAGACGAGAGTCGCCTGGGGAGATTGTAGCCCCCAATCACCACCCTGCCTCCCACCCCCACCCCACCGCCTGCAGGTGGGCCAGCAGGCCCGGGCCGCTCTCTCTGAACTCCTGTCTGTCCTGAGGGTCTTGCTTCCCTGATGTCCCAGCCGGGGCAGGGCTGGCCGCAGACACGAGCAGCCCACCACCCCACAATTGCCTGCTTCCTCCCAGCAGAGGTGCCCCCAGCTCAGCCCCTGTCCCCAGGAGCTCAGGGTCACGAGAGGGAGCTGTGTTTGTGAGCGCAGTGGGTGCTGAATTCCTGCAGGGCAGGCAGGGGCTGTGGCAGGAGACGAGTGTGAGAGTGCCTGGGAGGCTTCCTGGGGAGCAGTTGGGGTGCGGGGCATGGGAGCTTGGCTTGGGTGCTCTGACCTGGCTGGTGAAGGCCCCCTTGGCCCACACTCCAGAGCCCGAGGTGACCATCGTGCGGGGCCTGGCTGACACTGAGGTGCAGGCTGATGGAGAAGCAGAGTTCAGCTGCGAGGTGTCACAGGCTGGCGTGGACGTGGAGTGGCGCCTCCAGGGCCTGCCGCTGCAGAGCAACGAGGTGACCGAGGTCACGGTCCAGGGTGGCCGCACCCACACACTGCGGCTGAAGAGCGTGACCCCGGAGGATGCCGGCACTGTCTCCTTCCACGTGGGCGGCCACACGTCCTCTGCCCAACTCACCGTCCGAGGTAGCAGGAGCTGGGCGTCACTGCACTTGAGGGCCCGAACCCCACCTCGGTGAAGGCCTTGTCGGGGGACAGTGATGGATGGCACAGTTTCCTGCCTTTGAGGGTGGGGAACTGGCGCTGAACGCCTGATTCTGGGGTGACCCTAGGTGTTGCAGTAGAACGATCCCCAGTGTGCCGGTCTTCAGGAATTGGGGCTGGGATGCTGGGGGCAGATGCAAGGGACTGGGAGGTGGTCCTGATGGTGCGGGGCGGGGCGTCTCTGGCACGGAGGCTGATGCCATGCCTCTTCCCCGTCCCCACCCCATGCAGTTCCTGAGGTGACCATCCTGGAGCCCCTGCAGGACGTTCAGCTCAGCGAGGGCCAGGACGCCCACTTCCGGTGCCGACTGTCGAGGGCTTTGGGCCAGGAGGCCCACTGGGCCCTGGGAGGGGTGCCCCTGCAGGCCAACGAGATGAACGACATCACGGTGGAGCACGGCACACTCCACTTGCTCACCCTGCACAAGGTGGTGTTCCCCAGAGCGCCTGTGCCCTGCAGTGCGTCCAGGGGCCTTCCCACCTGCTCCCCGCAAGGGTGGGAGAGAGGGAAGTTTCCAACTCCAATGGAACTGGGCTGGGGACTTGCAAAGTAAGTTGCAAGTGGTTGAAATGGCACTGCCAGCCTGACACCTGCGTTTCTGTTCCATCAGGTGACCCTTGAGGATGCTGGAACCATCAGTCTCCAAGTGGGCCCATGTCGCTCAGAGGCCCAGCTGAAGGTCACAGGTAGGCAGCCCCCTCCCACAGCTAGCCTCCCCACTTGTGGATGTCCACATGTCCCTACTCGAGGAACTGTTGGCAGGTGCTGAGGCCAGAGATCTGAGCCTGCCAGCAGTGATCTTGCTGTGGGTTGGCAATTTTGCACCCTTGACCACTGAAGCCACTGGAGGTGGGCTAGTGAAGATAGCTTGAGAAGTTCCAGTGTGTGAGGGAGTCCTCACGTAGGATCAGGGCTGTGTGTAGGGGGAAGGTGGGGAGGCTGGCTGCTGGGGACTTGGGCCCTGAGGTCGAGGCAGGGCCTTCTGGGCTTCTTCCCTCCATGTAGCTACTCCTGTGATTTAGGTTCATGTGCTTTTACTTATACATACCTGCATGCCTGACACGCTCTCAGATGTTGGTATAGTATCTCACCTGTGACACATGAATGGTTTGAAAGATGGTGTACCAGACAGGAAAATAAGATTTAAGGACCTTCAACTTGTTATACTTTGTCCCCAGAATTGGTCATCTCTGTATGCCTCATCCTCATCTGCTGTCCCACTCCTGATTTTCGTATTGGTCCCATCCATCTGCCATCCCTTGACCATCAGCCCATCCACCATTTATCCATTCATCTATCTGTGCATGCATCCATGCATCCATCCTTCCCTCCCTGTATTCTATCTGTCCATCCATTTATCCCACACCCATCTATTCAACTACCCATCCATTCATCCACCATCCATTCTCTATCCATCTGTCTAGCCACCATCTATTATCTATCATGCATGCGTTTATCTACCTGCCATCATCTATTCATCATTATCCATCCGTTCATGCACCATCTACCCATGCATTCAGGATCTACCCATCTATCTACCATTCATCCACCGTCAGTCATTGGTTCATCCATCTAACCATCATTCTACTACCATCCTTCCTTATGTCTGTCTGTCCACCCATCCATATTGCCATCTACCCATTCATCCACCTATCCATCCACTATCCATTTCTCCATCCATCATCCATCCATTATCTGTCCATCATGTATTTATTATCTACCTTGAGAGGGGCCAGATGCAGCTCTGCCCTCAGGGAGTCCCCGGTCTGCTGGGGGGTGGGGCAGGAAGACAGTCTGCCCTGAGTCCCAGGTGTCCCCACCTTGAGTCTTCACGTGCCGGCTCTGTAGCCTGTAGGGCTGGGAAAGGCTCTCGAGTGCAGCGTCCTCAAGCTGGACGCCGGGAGAGGGCCGAGTCCTGGGTGCCCTGGGCAGAGCTGGGTGGGAGGGACCTCGTGTGTCATCAGCGTGGGCATCTGTGAGTGGCAGCATGCAGTGGGGTTGGATCTTGCAGACCCCACTAAGGGTTGCACCTTGGCCCTTCTCGATCAGGGTCCCCATTTGCGGTAAGCTGGCTCACACACAGACACAAGCTGTGGCGTTGGACAGAGCTGTGAGCCTAGGGTGGCGAGGATGGGCCAACTCGGGAACCGTGCTGGAGATGGAATAGGGAGCTGGTGGACAGGTTGAGGGTACAGTTAGATGTGCACTCCTGTGAGAACATGGAGTGACTGGTGTGGGCCTGGGACAGGCGTGTCGATGTGCGTGTCTGGGAGGGACGTGGAGGGCTCTGGGGGAGGGCCTGGCTGGGGTGGGTGTGCCAGCACAGAGCAGGGTCTGGGCAGCCCCCTGGACTCACCCTACTGTGCAGCAGGTCAGGAAGGTTGCCATTCTGTGTTAGGGCCCAGAACCTAAGGGCCAGGCCAGGGGACCTTAGGGGACACCTGGACACATGGCCCTCTGGGGGTGGGAGAAGCATCTGCTTCCAAAGCCCCAGGAAGTGGGCTCACTTCATAGCAGCCCCTGTCCCTCTCAGAGAGGTGGGCCCCACGACCTGACCTTTCTGTCCTGCCCCAGAGCCCTTGAGGATCGCATCCATGGGGCTTGAGGCTCGTCAGTTCTGCCTTGCTGAACAGGGTGTAGATGCAGGGCATTGGTCTCCTTTGACGAAGTCAAACATATGGTGAAGGGTGCCGTGGGGTGCAGGGGTGCAGGCTCACTGTGGGTGGTCTCCTTGTCTCCTTCTGTGGGCAGGGGGTGCCAGCTGGCCAGAGTCGCTCTCTAGACCCCATCCCCAGGCTGCCTGCAGCATGGCGGACCCAGATTCGCCCCCAGTGGTAGACCCCGCTGTGGCCCCACAGACCCAGGGCAGCCCATCTCCCTCCTTTTGCCCTCTCGCACAGAGGCAGCGCCATGCCTGGTACGTGGCTTACAGAATGTGGACGTCTTTGCGGGGGAGGTGGCCACGTTCTCCTGCGAGGTGTCCCGTGTGGGTGGGCCAGAGGCCCACTGGTGGCTGGATGGGACCCTGCTGCAGGACGGCCCCCAGAGTGCCATCTCCGTGCGTGATGGGACTGTCCACTCCCTCACGCTCTCAGGCCTGGGGGTGGCTGACTCAGGCACCGTCACCTACCGAGCAGGGCCCCTGGTCTCCAGGGCCAAGTTGTTGGTCAAAGGTACCAGCCGATGGAAGCTGCCCTGTGCTGGAGCTTCTGCTGTGCTGCCCCTGCACGCTTCCCGCGGGCTTCCTGGGTGGGGGTTTGGGGACCGACCCCCAGGACGCAGACCGGGCGCCTTTCCACATGTGCCAAGGGTGGGCGCTGGGGGCAGGCAGCAGTCCTAGCTGGTGAACGAGAAAGAAGGTCGGACTCAGCAGTCATGCTGGAGGCCGACCCCATTCCCAGCTGCTCACAGGGCCTGGGCGTGACTGCCCACCCGGTTACCACCCTGTGGCTGCCCCTTCCTCAGGCATACATCCAGAGAGCAGCCTGGAGGTGAAGGCAGCCTTCCCAGCCCCGGGCTTGGCCTGCATTGTCCTTGCTTATAGCTGCTTCTGCTGCCGCGGGTTAGGTCAGGGTCTCTCTTGGGCCCTTCTGGGAAAGCGCTAGCCATTGGAGAGGGTAGCGGGCTTCTAGGGAACTCCCTCGGCCCGCTCTCAGTAGAGGTATTGGGCATTCTTGGCACAACAGCCCCAGTGTGGTTTCAACCACGCTGGCCAGCTTGTCAACTGGCCTCCTCTATGCTCTTGCGTAGTAAATGTGGGCACTTGCACAGATCCCAGGGGCAGCTCATTTGTTGAATGGGATGTCAGCAAGTGGAGGTGGGGTGGGATCCCCTGTGGGGTGGGTGACAAGGCCCCTGGAGAAGGGGTGAGTTGGACTGGGGATGCCCATGCCCAGCAGAGCTTTGGACCCTGAACAGGCCCAAGGGCTTTCAGATGTGGGTTTTGTGTCCTGCTGGGGCGACATGTGTCCCGGCCTAGAGGAAGTGCGGGCTCAGAGGGACCAGCGGTAGGAGGGGCCCAGCAGATAGAGACTGTTGTGAGCGGGGGTGTGGGGGCAAGGCTGGCCCCATGCAGAGGGCCCTGGGTCACTGTGCTGGGTGCCCCTTCCGCCGCCGCCCTGCTTCTGCTCGCCTCTGAGTCGCTGCCGCTGACTGCAGAGGGGGGAGGGCCGCAGTCAGCGGCTCCGGCTGACGCGTGCCTGGCCTGTCGGCCGACAGATCCCACAGTGGAAGTGGTCAGTGCCATGCGGGACTTGGCAGTGCAGGAGGGCGGCCCGGCCGAGCTCCTCTGCCAGTACTCGCGGCCCGTGCAGGCCACGTGGAAGATGGACGAGCAGGAGGTGTGTGCGGACGGGCACCGCGTCGTCATAGAGCAGGACTGGACCGTGGCCCGGCTGTCCTTCAGGCCGGCCTTGCCCTGTGACAGCGGCATCTATTCTTGCGAGGCCGCGGGCACCCGTGTGGTGGCCCTGCTTCAAGTGCAAGGTGAGGCCGCCTGGCGGGCAGCCCCGGGCCCAGGACCGCTGTGCTGAGGCCCACGCCGCGCCGTGCTGGCGGAGTGGCAGGCAGTGACAGGATGCGGGCAAGAGGGGCTCCCAGGAAGCAGATCGCAGGCCCTGAGCCCACCCACCCAGGCCCCTTCTTGTCCCCAGGCAGTCGGATAGAAACAGCTGGAAAACAAGGGCGGAGGCTGCTCGAAGGATCTGCCCCCCAAACGCCCTGTCGGGGAGGGGTGGGGGCCGAGACTGGCAGGTAGATGAGCGGGTCCGGGGCCTTTGGGACCATAGCTGGGGCTGGGTCCTAGAGCAGGGGAGGGCCGCTGGGCTGAGCTCCCTGAGTCCCGGGTTCAGACCCCAGCGCTGCCCCTTCTTGGGCTGGTCACTCAGAAGATACTCTGAGCCCCGCATCCCCACTTGAAGCACAGCAGGGATGCCCCATGGGGGACACAGAGCAGCTCTGCAGGGGAGGGGGTGGTCATTTGGCCAAAGCCGCATTCGATTTGGAAAACCCAAAATGTTCCCAGTGGTGAGAGCTGGCAGTGTCAGAGGGCATCCAAAACGGGAAGAGCAGGTGGGGCCTGGTCTGGGCCACAGTCCCCCTGAGGTCACTTGGATTCCATTCACAGACGACTTCAACAGCTATGTCTTTAAACACTTCTTTGTTCGGCCCCTGGGGGCCCAGCAGTAAACAGACAGAGCCCCCTCCCTTCACTGGTGGCTCCCCTGTGGGAGGTGGAGGAATGTGATAGGAGTGTGGGAAGGAGCTGCAGTGTGAAGCTGGTCTGAAGGAGGCAGCTGGGGCTTGTGGACATCTGGGGTGGAGCCTTTGGGCCTCAGGCAGGGAATAGAGAAGGAAATGCAGGAGACAGCAGGAGGGAGGCCTCGGGCTCGCCACTGCTGCTGTAAGATCTGGGATTGTATAGAAATAGGAGTTAAGGAGGGTGAGCTCCAGCAGTGACTGTAGGCCCAACCTTCGCCCTGCCCCCACCCCCACCGCCACCACCGCGTCGCTGCCGAGGGCAGCCGCAATCTTGATCTGGCTGGGCGCAGCCCTCCCAGCGCAGTGCAGACGTGAGGCATGTGCATTCCCAAGTCCCTGTGGGTCCTGTCGGTTCTGACTCGGGGAATGAAGGAGCCAGGGCCATGGGGGAGTGTGCTCTGCGATGCGAGCAGGCCGGGGCCGGGAGGGCGGCGGGGAGAAGGGTGCGGATGGGCCCCGTGGGTCCTCTGCTCTGGGAGGCCTGTGAGCCTGGGGTGACGTCGCGCTCCTTTCCTGCCTGACTCCACCCCCGGCTGTCGCCCCTCAGCTTGTTTTGTGTCCTTCACTCCACTGGCCTGGCTCCCTGCTGCCCCCCACCCACCCCTCTTCATCCCCCGCACAGGGTCCCCTCGAGGTGCTTCTGCTTCCTGGACACCTCCCCTCCCTGTCTCACTCACGCCCATCCTCAGAGATCTGCCTCCTCCAAGAAGCCCCCCGGAGCTCAGAGGCCACTGGTGTCGGTACCAGGGGCCCGTCATGGGAATGGGCTCTTGGAGGCGGCAAGCACTTGGGGCCCAGGCGCTGAGCTGGATCTGGGGCCTGGCATGTCCAGGCCTGACACCCTGGCTTCCACAGAACACGCAGAGACGCTCGTCACGGACTCCTGTGCTCTGTACAGGAGAACTGGGGCAGGCTGCAAGTGAGGGCAGAGATATGTGTGGTGCGAGTGAGTGAGGGCAGCAGCCCAGTGGGTCTGTTAGCCCTGGCTGGGGGAGGAAAGGAAGGGAACAGTTTTCCGGAGGCCCATGCCGCAGCAGAGCTGCAGAAGCCTCTGTCTGCGTTTGAGCCGGGTCGCAGCCTTGGGTGAGTTTTCAGTCCGTGAACATTTGTGAGGCTTCTCACCTGTTAGGTGGAGTGGACTCTCCTTCCTAACCAAGGCCTGGTGCTGGTGTGGGGATGGCCAGGGTCTTAGGACATAGGGCAGCGCAGTGCGGCTCCTCCTGATGGGCACCCAGACACCCTCCCCCGGCCACATCCTCTGAGTCCCTTCATCCTGAGAGGGGCTCTCCCACATGACTCTTGGGGTGCTGGGTAGGAAAAGCCCTGAGCACGCCTGAGGCCATCCTCTTTCTGCAGCCAAGAACACGGTGGTGAGGGGCCTGGAGAACGTGGAGGCGCTCGAGGGCGGCGAGGCGCTGTTCGAGTGCGTCCTGTCCCAGCCGGAGGTGGCCGCCCACACCTGGCTTCTGGATGATGAGCCCGTGCGCACCTCGGAGAACGCCGAGGTGGTCTACTTCGAGAACGGCCTGCGGCACCTGCTGCTGCTCAAAAACCTGCGGCCGCAGGACAGCTGCCGCGTGACCTTCCTGGTGGGGGACATGGTGACGTCTGCCTTCCTCACTGTCAGAGGTTAGACTTGTGGGTCGGGAGGGCGGTTCTCTGTGGTCCCCCCAGCCGATGTCCCCCTGCAGGAGTGCAGGAGGATAGGGGGGGGGGTTGGTCTGAGGCCCCTCCTGCGGGCTAACCCACATCAGGGATGCTGGGGCTGATGCTGGGACCACAGGGGTGCATGTCTCTCAGACCCATCCCCCTAAATACCGCATGCTGCAGTAGGGTGGGACAGGGTGGGCTGGAGCCCCTGTGTGAGGACCTGGGACTCTTCACCTCTCTCACCAGATCCCACGCTGCTCGGGCGCAGGGGCTGGCGATGAGGCTGGGGACATGAGGCTCTCAGAGCCCTCCCAGATGTCACCTTGCGGGGGCATGGGGGCTGGGGTCACAGGAGAGGGCCTGGGTTCCTGAGGACCCCCCCTCCCGCTGGGTATTTGGCTGGGGGTCATAGGCGAGGGCTGGGGCAGCAGGGATCATGGGGATTCCTCCACTGGGCACCTGGCTGCTTGGTCAGGGGTGGAGGGAGGTGAGGGAGCTGGGGCGTCTGGGAAGGGCAGTGACCTCTGAGACAGGAGAGTGCGGGGTGGTTGTGCTGGGGCCGTTGATCTCTGAGGCTGCTCCCAGAGGCGGGAGGAGCGGGAGGCTAGGCGCCCTCCTCTGCTCTGGGGCTGTGGAAAGGGGGTGGCATGGATGTCTTTGAATGCCCCCAGGCCTCTGTGTTCACACTGCCACCCTACCCCGCCCCACAGGCTGGCGCCTGGAGGTCTTGGAGGCGCCCCAGGATGTGACCGTGCGAGCCGGGGGGCAGGCCAGCTTCAGCTGCACCCTTAGCGAGAGAGCGACGGCGGAGGGGGTCTCCGTGGCTACCGGGTGGAGATGAAGGCTGCAGCCACGGGGGAGTGGCGGCTGTGCCACGACCTGGTGCCCGGGCCCGAGTGTGTGGTGGCCGGCCTGGCCCCCGGGGAGACCTACCGCTTCCGCGTGGCTGCAGTGGGCCCAGCGGGCGCTGGGGAGCCCGTGTACCTGCCCCAGACGGTGAAGCTTGGTGAGAGGCTGCCTCGGTCTTGGTTGATGAGGGCGGGAGTCCAGCTTGCAGCTCTCAAAGCCTCTCTCAGCTGAGGGTCCCACCCGCATCCTTGCTGACCCTGATCCCTGTTCCCAGCAGAGCCCCTGGAACCCAGGCCTGCAGTCTCCGCCCCCGAGAGCCGGCAGGTGGCAGCCGGGGAGGACTTGTATCTGGAGTGCGAGGTTGCCGAGGCGGGTGAGGTCGTCTGGCTGAAGGGAACAGAGCGCATCCAGCCGAGCGGGCGCATCCAGGTCCTCTGCCAGGGTCAGCGGCAGATGCTGTTGATCCGGGGCTTCTCCGCGGAGGACCAGGGCGAGTACCGCTGCGCCCCTGCACGGGAGTCAGCCTCTGGGTCAGCTGCTGCTTTCCAGGGTATGTCTCCCGGGGCCTGCTGTGCAGAGGGGAGGAAGGAGCCCTGGGGTGTGGAGTGGGCCAACATGCTTCTCTCCTGAGAAACTGCTGGAGAAACATAGCTCACATTAAGGACTGAGGCCTGGGGTGGGGCAATGCACCAATCGGTGTGACTCAGCCTCCTGTCAGAACCCGTATCACTGACATCTGACGTCACGTTGTCCCCTGGTCGATGCCCCACCTTGGTGCCCACCGCTGGCTCCGAATCCTTGCATGCCTGCCGTCTGAGCCCCCTGCACCTGACCCTGGCCTGGGGTCTTCTGTGTTCACCCGCTCTTGTGCAGGAGGGAGAATGAGGCCTAGAGAGGGCCGTTCAGAGCCTCTAAAACCTTGTCAAGATTGTGCATCAGAGCTCTCGGGGCCTGGGCAGGCAGCAGAGGCTTCTACAGGGAGCTGTGGTCAGGAGACAGGGCCGGCCTGGGGTCGCTGTCCTTGTCTGACTGGCCGGGCTCCTGCCCTCCTCAGTGGTGCTGACCCCAGAATCTGGGGAGGAGGCCCCCGCTCAGCCCAGCCTGCCCCCCGAGGCTGCCCAGGAGGGCGACCTGCACCTGCTGTGGGAGGCGCTGGCCCGGAAGCGCCGCATGAGCCGCGAGCCCACGCTGGACTCCATCAGCGAGCTGCCCGAGGAGGACGGCCGCCCGCCGGGTCCGCGGCTGGAGGCCGAGGAGGCCGCGCCTGACCTCTCAGAGGAGTACTCCACGGCCGACGAGCTGGCGCGCACCGGCGAGGCTGACCTCTCGCACACCAGCTCTGACGACGAATCCCGAGCAGGCACGCCCTCGCTGGTTACCTACCTCAAGAAGGCCGGGAGGCCCAGCGCCTCGCCACTGGCCAGCAAGGTGAGTCTCCCGCTCGACCTGCAAGGAGCGGCGCCCATTTCTTAGATCGTTGCCACTCCATCATTCCTCCACACATCAACTGTCCACTGTTAGTCCGTCGGTCCATCCAGCACTCATCTATCCAGTCATTTTCCCACCCACCATCTGCCCATCTATCAGTCATCCAGCTACCGACCCAGCTGAGTCACCTACCCATCCATCCATCCATGTGGCTGTTAAAACACTTTTCCTGAAGAGCTGGAACCGGTCTCTGTGGTATTCCTCAGAGTGCTGTCCCCCTCTGGGGAAAGCAGTTTCAGGGAGGGTAGACCTGCTTTTCGGCCGCAGCAGAAGCCCTCAGGCACTCGGCCTCAGTGAAGGTAGTGCCGCTGCCAGCAGGCAGGAGGCATGCCGGAGCGAGGCGTGGAGCTGGGGCAGGAGACCCGGGCCCTGCGTCTCCCTGCCCTGTGTGTGCCCCTGCCACGTCCTTCGCCTGCCCTGGGCCTCAAGCGCCCTACCTCACCTGTGCACACAGGTTGGGGCCCCAGCAGCCCCCTCCGGGAAGCCACAGGAAAAGCAGCAGGAGAAGTCACCTGCAGTACCCCCACCGCCAGGAGGCCTGAGCGCTGGGGACCTGGGCGACCCGACCTTGGACCAGGCTGCAGTGAAGATCCAAGCGGCCTTCAAGGGTTATAAGGTCCGGAAGGAGATGCAGCAGCAGGAGGGGCCCGTGCTCCGCTGCACGTTTGGGGACACCGTGGCCCAGGTGGGAGACGTCCTGCATCTGGAGTGTGTCGTGTCCAGCAAGACCGATGTGCACGCCCGCTGGCTGAAGGATGGCGTGGAGCTGACGGACAGCCGGCACCACCACATCGACCAGCTTGCGGACGGCACCTGTTCTCTGCTGGTCACCAGCCTGGGCAGGGCCGACGCTGGCCGTTACACCTGTCAGGTGAGCAACAAGTTTGGCCACGTGGCCCACAGCGCCAGCGTGGCGGTCAGTGGCACGGAGAGTGAGAACGAGAGCTCCTCTGGGGGCGAGCTGGATGACACCTTCCGCCGGGCCGCCCGGCGGCTGCACCGCCTCTTCCGCACTAAGGACCCAGCGGAGGTCTCGGACGAGGAGATCTTCTTCAGCGCCGACGAGGGCAAGGCAGAGCCTGAGGAGCCCGGGGACTGGCAGACATACCGCGAAGACGAGCACTCCATCTGCATCTGCTTTGAGACGCTGGCGGAGGCCCGCCGGGCAGCCAGCCGCTTCCAGGAGATGTTTGGCGTGCTGGGCATCCGCGTGGACATCAGCCTGTCTGAGCAGGGACCGCGCAGGGTGGAGATGCGCATCGGGAAGGTGGCACCCGCCCCTTCAGCCCCACTGGAGCCAGCGCTGACAGCAGAGGCTGGTGAGTCTGCACGCTGTACGCGGGGAGGACGAGAAAAGCCAGGCTGGCGATCCAGTGTCAGCTGAAGACTCGAGGAGGTGGCTGGGCTTTAGCTTCCGGTTGTGCACAGATGCAGCCCACTGAGCTTCAAAGAGCCCTGACTTTGGGGTGAGACACAGCTCGGTTTAAATCCAGCTCTGCCTCTTTGAGCCTCAGAGTCCTATTCTATGAAATACCTTCGGGAATACTGACTTCCTAGAGTTTAGGGATTTATCTCTTTCCCCCATGAGGGTTTGAGATGTAATCTGTATAAAAGGTAGGGTCCCACATAGTCCAGTCTGAACCCCATTTCCCACTCTGGCAACTAAAGTTAAATGAAAAGTCATTTCGCTGTTTACCTCTGTCTCCCTAACAGGGAACATCATTACCCTCATAAGGATTACCATCATAATGATACCCTGAAGAGGGTATCATTAACAACCCCCAGCATCATTCCTCCCTTTAGTTCTCAGCTGCCTGGGTGCTTCCAATCCCAGACTGGCCTTCCCTTTACTTCCCCTTCCTCCCCATTTCCTGTCTGCTATCTCTGACCTCACGGGAGCTTGGGAACCAGGCTGGCAAAGAGAGGATTCTTCTAGAGCATGGGGAGTAGGGGATAGCTCAGTTGACAGAGACAGAATTCTGTTTGGCCGCCAGTCTATGAGCACTCCCGTGAATGGGCGCCGTGCAGCATTGAACTGCTGGCAGCTGGGGTAGCTGAGGGGAACCCAGGGCTGGCGTGCTGACCCTCCCCTTCTCTTCTAGCCCCAGTGTTCCTGACCGAGCTCCAGAATCAGGAGGTGCTGGATGGGTACCCTGTGAGCTTTGACTGTGTGGTGACAGGCCAGCCTGTGCCCACCGTGCGCTGGTTCAAGGATGGGAGGATGCTGGAGGAGGATGACCACTACATGATCAGTGAGGACCAGCAGGGTGGCCACCAGCTCATCATCACGGCTGTGGTACCAGCAGACATGGGCGTCTACCGCTGCCTGGCTGAGAACAGCGTGGGTGTGTCCTCTACGAAGGCAGAGCTCCGAGTGGACCGTGAGTGCACATGTGGGTGTGAAGATTCAGGCAGGGCAGGGATCCTGGCAGTGAGAGGCAGTGCTGGGTTGGAGGATTGCCAACCCAGCACTGGTCCCAGGCCAGGCAGAATTTGGGGCTGGAATGTCTTGTGGCAGATGGAGAGTTCTCTTGGAGCCCCCTTGAGAGGAAAATGGGATGGGGAAGAACCTGGGAAGATTTGGAGGTGCCCCATGGGCCCAGTGGGTGGTTAACGGCATTGTGGCATAATAAGAAACATATATATTTGATCTTTGTTCCTGATTCCTGGTGGGTCCCTAGATAGCTTCAATACAAATAAATCCATCTGATTTTTGACAAAAATCCAACAACAATTAGAGGAAACACAGAATTGCAGATTCAGGGATGGAATTTCAAATAGTTCTGGAGTACTCTGAACAATTGTAGGCAAAAATATGAACACACCAAGGAAACCAGAATTGAAAGAGACACGTGTACCCCAGTGTTCATTGCAGCACTGTTTACGATAGCTCGACATGGATGCAACCTAGATGTCCATTGGCAGATGAATGGATAAGGACATTGTGGTATGTATACACAATAGGATATTACTCAGCTATAAAAAGGAACGCATTTGAGTCAGTTCTAATGAGGTGGATGAAATGAGCCTATTATATGGAGTGAAGTAAGTCAGAAAGAGAAACACCAATTCTGTGTATTAACACGTACATGTGGAATTTAGAAAGACGGTAATGATGATCCTGCATTCAAGGCAGCAAAGGAGACAGATGTGAAGAACAGCTTTGGACTCTGGGGGTGAAGGCGAGGGTGGGATGAGCTGAGAGAATAGCACTGAAACATGTGTATTACCGTGTGTAAAATAGCTGACCAGTGCAGGTTCAGTGCATGAAGCAGGGCGCTCAAAGCCAGTGCTCTGGGACAGCCCAGAGGGATGGGGTGGGGAGGGAGGGGGGAGCAGGGTTCAGAATGGGGGGACACGTGTGTACCCATGGCTGATTCATGTTGCTGTATGGCAGAAACCATCACAATGTTGTAAAGTAAGTATCTTCCAATTAAAATTTATTGATTAAAAAAAGAAACCAAAAATAGGAGCTTCAACCTTGTATGAAAATTACCTCAAAATGGATTACATACTTAGGAGAAGGCAATGGCACCCCACTCCAGTACTGTACTCTTGCCTGGAACATCCCATGGACGGAGGAGCCTGGTAGGCTGCAGTCCATGGGGTCGCTACGAGTCGGACACGACTGAGCGACTTCACTTTCATTTTTCATTTTCACGCATTGGAGAAGGAAGTGGCAACCCACTCCAGTGTTCTTGCCTGGAGACTCCCAGGGACGGGGGAGTCTGGTGGGCTGCCGTCTATGCGGTCACACAGAGTCGGACACGACTGAAGCGACTTAGCAGCAGCAGCAGGATTACATACTTAAGTGTAAAATATGAACCTATCAAACTTTTAGGGAAAAAGTAGGAAGAAATCCTCAGGATTAAGGGCTAAGAAAAGACTACTTAGACTTGACCCTAAAATGAAAAACTGGTAAACTGGACCTCCTCAGACTTAGAGCCTTTTGCTCTGTGAAAAATCAAGTGTTGAGGATGAAAAGCTATGGGCTGGGGAAAAGTACCTGCTTTATTCGTTGAAAAGAATATTTTCCCTCATAACACTGTGTTGGAACTCTTCTTGCCAGAAATGAATTTCCATTAAATATATAGATTTATTTCTGACTCTCCGTTCTCTTCCATTCATCCAGATGTCTGTCATTATGCCATTACTACACTGTTTTGACTATCATAGCTTTGTATTAAGTTTTGAAACTATGCGTGTGAGTCCGCCAACTTGGTTCTTGGTCAAGATTGTTTTGACCATCCTGAGTCTCTTGCACATTTTTTTAAGGAATATTAGGGTCAGCTTGTCAATTCCTGCAAATGTAATCTCTGGGTACTTTTTATTATTTCCTTTTTATCAATGGTTTTTGAGTAATTTAATCATATTTTTTGGTGCACTTGTCTTTATATTCCTTGTCTTGCAGTTAATTGAGCTTTTTGAGTTAATGGGGCTTCCCTGGTAGCTAGCTCAGATGGTAAAGAATCTGCCTACAATGCAGGAAACCCAGGTTTGATCCCTGGGTCAGGATGATCTCCTAGAAAATGGAAGGGCTACTCACTCACTATTCTTGCCTGGAGAATTCCATGGACAGAGGAGCCTGGTGGGCTATACAATCCATGGGTTCGCAAAAGAATTGGACACAACTTAGCAACTAACAGTTTTAATATTTTTCATTAAGTTTGAAATTTGTGAGGCATCATTTCTTGAAATATTTTTCCTTTCCCCTACATTTGGGGGCTTGTACATAATCGAGCCACTAGAAGTTGCACTTGTTCAGTCTCTCAGTCGTGTCTGACTCTTTGTGACCCCATGGACTGCAGCACGCCAGGCTTCCCTGTCCATCACCAACTCCTGGAGCTTGCTCAGATCAAGAGGCTCTTTAGTTCCTCTTCACTTTCTGCATATCGAAGGTTATTGATATTTTTCCTGGCAATCTTGATTCCAGTTTGTGAGTCATCCAGCCTGGCATTCCTCATGATGTACTCTGCATATACATTAAAAAAACAGGGTGACAATATATAGCCTTGACATACTCCTTTCCCAATTTTGGATCACTCCATTGTTGCATGTCCAGTTCTAACTATTGCTTCTTGACATACATACAGATTTCTCAGAAGACAGGTATACAGTCTGGTAGTCCCATCTTTGTAAGAATTTTCCACCATTTGCCGTGATCCACACAGTCAAAGGCTTTGACCTAGTCAGTGAGGCAGCAGTAGATGTTTTTCTGTAATTATCTTGCAGAATCTTGTGAAGAATCAGCCTGGCAATGCAGGAGATGCAAGAGATGCAGGTTCGATCCCTGGGTCAGGACGATCCCCTGGAGAAGGAAATGGCAGTCTGCTCCAGTTTTCTTGCCAGGGAAATCCTATGGACAGGAGAGCTTGGCAGGCTAGAGTCCATGGGTTCACAAAGAGTCAAACATGACTGAGAACTGAGCACAACTGAAGTTGTACTACAGCTTACTCATAATCCTTTTAAATTTTAAAATTCTTGTTTTCTGTGCATTTCATTTTGCATAGTTTCTATTGCTATGCTTTTACATTCACTATCCTTTTTTTCCATAGTATCTTAATTTGCTATCAATCCCATCCATTGTATTGTTTATCCCTAGAAGTTCTACTTGAATCATTTTCCTTAAAACTGATTTGTTTTTTTGCTTTTAACTTTTTGACTGCACTGGGCTGTCACTGCATATGAGCCTTCTCTGGTTGCGTGGAGTGGGAGCTACTCTTTGTTTTGGCGCGGTGGCTTCTCTTGTTGTGGCTCGCGGCTCGAGAGGACTGGCTCAGTAGTTGTGATGCATAGTTTAGTTGCGCAGTAGCATGTGGGAGCTTACTGTATCAGGAATCAAACCCATGTCTGCTGCGTTGGTGGGTAGATTCTTAAGCACTAGACCACTGTGGAAGCCCCCCTACTTAAATCTTTCAGATACGTTCTCGATCTCATCTTAACTTTTTGAACACATGGAATACAGTTCTAATGCTTGTGTGAATGTCCTTCTCTCTCAGTTCTAACATCTGTGTCAAGTCTGAGTTGGTTTCCACTGACAGGTTATTCTTCATGTTATAGGTTGTGTGTTTTCTGATTCCTTGCATGTCTTGACAGTCGTGGAGGAATGCCTGACTGTGTGAATTTAACCCCATTGGGAGGTGGGTATTTTGTGTTTCTGCACGTCGTCTTGAGTAATACAGTGAGTTACTTGGAGGCAGCTGGATCCTTTTGAATCTGCCTTGTGATTTGTTAGGTGGGGCCAAGGCAGTGCTCAGTCCAAGGCTGCTCGCCTTTGTCTGCTGAAGTAAGAGTGTTCCTGAGCACCCTACCTGATGCCCCGTGAATTCTGAAAGTGAGGCAGTCTGCCTGTAAACAGACATTATTGCAGCCCTTGTGCTTCTCTGGACCTTTCAGATGGCTCTCCTGTCTGCATGCACCAATTGGTGCTCTACTGAATCCTCGAGGGAGGGGGCCCTCTCTCTGCACAGTTTTCTCTTCTCGGATTTTCTGTTCCCTGGACAAAGACTGCCTTTGTCTCTCAGGACATCAGCTCTTGTTTCCTCTACTCAGGATCTGCCTGACCCTGCCTCAGTTTCCCTTTCATGTAAACTTCAGGCAGGAAGCTGGGGCAATTATAGGGCCCACTGTTGTTTCCTGAGGCTTCCCTCATAGCTCAGTTGGTAAAGAATCCGCCTGCATTCCTGTCTCTAACAGATCACTGTCCTTCACGTGCGTAATGCCTGTGACTTGAAAACCATTCTGCTGATTCTGTACCCAACTGTGATGTGTGGGTATTTTTTCTCCCACAAAAAGAAATCCTCTGAGACACCAGCTGAGTATCCTATAGTTTAAGTCAATTCTGATCCCATCTTCCCAGAGATAGCATCAGATCCCATAGGTTAAGGGCTCAGTCCCACAAAGCTGCCCCCCCACCACCACTTCATATATCACCTGCAAGTCCAGGTTGTCACCTGTGCTTCTGGCCAATATGATATAAACTAGAAGTTCCAGTGATTCTTTCCTTAGATTTGATTAATTGGCTAAAGTGGTTCACAGAACTCAGAGAAACATTTTACTTACTATGTCAGCTGTTTATTATAAAAGGATATAACTTAGACACAGCCAGATGGAAGAGATGTATAGGCCAGGCAGGTGGGAAGGGCCCAGGTTGAGCTTGCCACTCTCCCCTGATCATGTGCTCACCAACAGGAAAGCTCTCTGAACCCTATTCTTTGGGGTTTTTACGGAGGTTTCATTACACAAACACAACTGATTAAATCATTCGCCATTGGTGACTGAAGTAAATCTCCAGCCCTTCTCTCCTTCCTGGAGGTCAGGGGTTCCCAACCTAATCCTGTGGTTGGTTACGCTAGCTTATGGAAAGCTCACCACATCCTTAGGGGCTTTCAAAAAAAAAATATCATGTCATTAATGTAAAATCCAAATCTACCTAAAGAAACAAAAGACCTATGTATAGAAAACTGTAAAACACTGATGAAAGTTATAAAACACAAATCAAAGATGACACAAATAGATGGAGAAATACACCATGTTCATGGATTGGAGGAATCAATATAGTGAAAATGGCTATACTACTCAAAGCAATCTATAGATTCAGTGCAATCCCTATCAAGCCACCAATGGTATTTTTCACAGAACTAGAACAAATAATTTCACAATTTGTATGGAAATACAAAAAACCTCGAATAGCCAANCTGCATATACTCCTTTCTTTCCTTTTCTCTGACTCTCCTTTTGTAGTACTTCTTCCTCCTCATTTTCCAGTTTTTTTTAACCTAATTTTCAGCCTTCTACAACTCTGGCCAACATCTTCCCATATGTATCCTGAACCCTATATGTATATATCAGTCTTTTATGTTTTCACTGTTTATAACCACCTCAGCCCCCCTCTTATCTAGTCAGAATTTGATATAGGGATATTAGGCTGTTGGGTGTTGAGGTCATAACTGAATTGATTAGGGAACTAGCCTATGCTGTGCAGTATAGCAGCTGTGTTTCCTTCTTACAACACAACTGTTTTGAAAGACTGGAGTATCTGTTTTAATACATATACTTTCTTTCCACAGATCATCAATTTCTACATGAATATGCTGATGGAGCGAAGTAAAGAGAAGGGATTGCCGAGTGTACATGCATTTAATACCTTTTTTTTCACTAAATTAAAAACGGCTGGTTATCAAGCAGTGAAACGTTGGACAAAGAAAGTGGATGTCTTTTCTGTTGACATTCTTTTGGTGCCTATTCACCTAGGAGTGCACTGGTGTCTTGCTGTGAGTGCCTATTTTATTACTGATAAAATTTAAAAGAAGTCTATATACACCAGCCCAGGTTGGATGCATGAGACAAGTGCTCAGGGCTGGTGCACTGGGAAGACCCAGAGGGATGGGATGGAGAGGGATGTGGAAGGGGGGTTCAGGATGGGGACACATGTACACCCAGGTGATTCATGTGAATGTATGGCAAAAACCACCACAATATTGTAAAGTAATTAACCTCCAATTAAAATAAATTTTAAAAAAATCCCAATCTCTACACCTGTCCAGTTAGGAAATTCCAAGTGTGTAGGAACTCTGAGTCAGGAACAGAAGGAAGACCAAACTTCTGTTTCTTATTATAAATCACTACATCACAGCCATTATTTTCTTTAGTGTGTTTGTTTTCCTTTGGTTGTTTTGGGAGTGGGTATCTTATTTCAGGCTGTTATAACAGTCCCATAGACTGGGCCACTTAAATAATAGCAGCACACTGCCTGAAGTCATGGAGATGGAAGGGTGCTGGTGAGAGTCCTCTTCCAAGTTGCTGACAGCTGTCTTCTCACAGCGCTCTCACATGCAGGAAGGGAGAAGGGGTCCCTCCTTAGAAGGGCACTAATCCCATTCATGAGGGTCCACCCTTATGAAGTCATCTAAGCCTGATCACCATGAAAAGGTCCCACCTTCAGACACCATCATGTTAGGAGTAAGGACTTGAACATATGAATTTTGGGGGGATACAGCACTCAGACCACAGCAGAGGATAAATTTAGCCCTCATTCTTCCTTGTGGCTCTAAGAGGAAACCCCAGCTGCTGGTTTTGAGACCTGTGTCACCCTTGTTCCTTAGTTAGGTGGAACCAAGGAGCTAAGTTAATTGCCACTGTCTGCTATTATGAAGCCCAGTACTGATAATTCGTTGGGTCTTGAAGTCAGTTACAGGCCTGGAAACATGGGCTGGTAAATAGCCTGGGGACAGGGAGGGGTCGTGGGGTAGCCGCGTCCCCCTTTCCTTCTGACTCAGAAGTGCAGAAGTGTAAGTGTCCCCGGAAACGGCGGCAGTGAGCATCGGGTACCCTCTGGGGTGGGGCTCGTGCCTGGGAAGAAGGTGAGGTGCAGGTCGCTTCAGCCCCATCCTTCATCCGCAGTGACCAGCACCGACTATGAGACTGCCGCGGATGCCACGGAGACCTCGTCCTACTTCAGCGCCCAGGGCTACCTGTCCAGGTAGAGGGCCAGGCGGAGGTGGGCAGTGCCCGGTGGGCTGGTGGTCCCGGGTCCTTGCAGGGGTGGCAGTGCTGGCTTGGACTGACAGCACCCCACCCATGGTGGCTCCAGCCAGCCCACAGTACCCTCCACCCAGCACAGAGGAGAGCTCAGGAATCACCCACCCCAACCCCGGCCCCCTCCTGTCCCGGAGTCCTCACTGGCCCTCCTCACAGCTGCCGTTTCTTTGTTCTCCCTGCCAGCCGGGAGCAGGAGGGCACAGAGTCCACCTCAGAGGAGGGGCAGCTGCCCCAGGTCGTGGAGGAGTTGAAAGACCTGCAGGTGGCCCCTGGCACACGGCTGGCCAAGTTCCAGCTCAAGGTGAAAGGTAAATGGGAGAGGGACGGAGGGCAAGGCGCTGTCTCCTGCCAAGCCACAGTTGCATGATCACCTGTGACCCCAGGCTCTCTGAGGGCCTGTGGCAGGCATGGTGCCCACTGGGCTGGAGCCCTGTGCTCACCGCTCCCCCTGTGGCCTCAGGCTACCCCACACCCCGACTCTACTGGTTCAAAGACGGGCAGCCCCTGACCGCCTCCGCGCACATACGTATGTCGGACAGGAAGATGCTGCACACCCTGGAGGTTGTCTCGGTCACCGGCGAGGATGCCGGCCAGTACTCGGCATACATCAGCAACGCCGTGGGTGCTGCTTACTCGTCTGCTCGGCTCCTGGTCCGAGGTGGGTGCCCAGCAAGGTGGCAGGGCCTGGCGTCCACACCTGGGTTGCTGTGGCAGGCCTGGAAGCCAGGACCCAGTGGTCACTGCCCCAGTGTACAGAAGCCACAGGCAGCCAGAAACTGCTTCCCAGAGAGCGTGTGCCGCTAAGGGGTGAAGTGTGTTTGTGAAAGTGTTCGTCGCTCAGTCACGTCCAACTCTTTGTGACCCCATGGACTGTAGTCCACCAGGCTCCTCTGGCCAGGGAATTTTCCATTCAAGAATACTGGAGGGGGTAGCCTTTCCCTTCTCCAGGGGATCTTCTCAACCCAGGGATGGAACCCAGGTCTCTTGCACTGCAGGCAGATTCTTTACAGTCTGAACCACCAGGGAAGCCGAGGGGGTAAGGGGCCCATGAAAACTGACTAGCTAGAAGGCTCGCTGGCTGGCGGAGTAGCCCCAGGCAAGCACGGGGCCTTCGGGAGACTCTGGGAAGGAAGAGGCACATAGTCATTTTAGAAGGGGANGGGGTAAGGGGCCCATGAAAACTGACTAGCTAGAAGGCTCGCTGGCTGGCGGAGTAGCCCCAGGCAAGCACGGGGCCTTCGGGAGACTCTGGGAAGGAAGAGGCACATAGTCATTTTAGAAGTGGAAGTCTGAACTTGCTTACTTTTCCAAGTGCTGAGCACAGCAAGGTGATTCCAAGTTTTACCCAAGTGTGCGCTGGTCTGGGGAGCCAACATGGCCTGCTGCTTGGCTTCAGTGTGACTTTTTGAGCAGACCTGTTCCCTGTGTTGGCTTCAGCGCAATGCCCCAGACCCCTGGGCTGACGTGGGGTAGTGTTGCATCTGGTCCGTGGGGCCTGAGTGCGAATCCCAGGTCTGCACGACCAGCCAGGCTTAGGAACGGTGCTGTGTGTGGTGTGTGGGAGTGGGTGGGGCCCCCTGAGACTCCCACCCTGGTAGGCAGGCCTGTTCAGGGGAGGGGGCACCTTGGTGCTGTAGATCTGACTTATGTGCTTTTTTCAGGCCCCAATGAACCAGAAGAAAAGCCAGCATTAGGTGAGCTGAATCCAGAGGGCAGAGAGAGGGAGGCCCTGGGCATAGATTCAGTAAGGGAGTGTGAGGGGGAATTGTGGAATTCCCATGTGGAGCGGGGGATCCGTGTCGTTTACCGCCAAATGCTCCGTGTCTTTCCAGATGCACAGCAGCAGCTGGTGCCACCCCGGTTCCTGGAGAAATTCACCTCCAAGAAGGTGAAAAAGGGTTCCAGCATCACTTTCTCCGTGAAGGTGGAAGGTAGGTGGTCCTGCCTCCCCGCCCCTGCTCAGGACCCTTCTAGAGAGGCTCGGGGGTGAGCGCCCTCCTGGTGTGGGGAAGGACCGTCCACCATGCACTCCTGCCCACAGGAAGCCCGCCGCCGGCTGTGCACTGGTTGCGGGAGGAAGCGGAGCAGGGTGTGCTGTGGATCGGCCGCCACACACCAGGCTACACGGTGGCCAGCTCCGCCCAGCAGCACAGCCTGGTCCTGCTGGACGTGGGCCGACAGCACCAGGGCACCTACACCTGCATCGCCTCCAACGCGGCCGGCCAGGCCCTCTGCTCTGCAGGCTTGCACGTCTCTGGCCGTGAGTGGGCGTGGGAGCGGGGGCAGAGTGGGCCGTGTGCAGCCTCCGAGCTCCTGGGCCAGTCCCCACCCACTTCCCTGAGGGTTCCGCTCAGCTAGACCCTCCTAGAAGACCCCACCACCCCGAGTGGTTTCTTCCGGGCCCTCTCAGCTCCTCGGAGGGCTGGTGAATCAAGTGCACGCTCCTTCCGTTTCCTGCCACTGGTGGGGTGACTGTGGACAAGTTGGGGCAGTGGGCACAAGCTTCCTCGGGGCTCCAGGGGACAGGGCCAGGGCCCCGGTGGGTGGGCCAGGCATCACTGGCAGGGGTGCTGGCCAGAATCCACGCTCAAGGGTGTGTGGTATCACTCTGGGGGTCTGCCCTGTTCTCCCGACAGTGCCTAAGGAGGCGGGGGCTGCGGAGGAGCAGCCCGAGGCAAAGGAGGCCCTCATCTCCACCTTCCTGCAGGGGTGAGTGAGGGGCTGCTCAGGAGCCGGGGGCCCAGCAGAGAGGACCAGGCTACACGGTGGCCAGCTCCGCCCAGCAGCACAGCCTGGTCCTGCTGGACGTGGGCCGACAGCACCAGGGCACCTACACCTGCATCGCCTCCAACGCGGCCGGCCAGGCCCTCTGCTCTGCAGGCTTGCACGTCTCTGGCCGTGAGTGGGCGTGGGAGCGGGGGCAGAATGGGCCGTGTGTAGCCTCCGAGCTCCTGGGCCAGTCCCCACCCACTACCCTGAGGGTTCCGCTTAGCTAGACCCTCCTAGAAGCCCCCACCACCCCGAGTGGTTTCTTCCCGGGCCCTTTCAGCTCCTCGGAGGGCTGGTGAATCAAGTGCACGCTCCTTCCATTTCCTGCCACCAGTGGGGTGACTGTGGACAAGTTGGGGCAGTGGGCACAGGCTTCCTCGGGGCTCCAGGGGACAGGGCCAGGGCCCCGGTGGGTGGGCCAGGCATCACTGGCAGGGGTGCTGGCCAGAATCCGCGCTCAAGGGTGTGTGGTATCACTCTGGGGGTCCGCCCTGTTCTCCCGACAGTGCCTAAGGAGGCGGGGGCCGCGGAGGAGCAGCCCGAGGTGAAGGAGGCCCTCATCTCCACCTTCCTGCAGGGGTGAGTGAGGGGCTGCTCAGGAGCCGGGGGCCCAGCAGAGAGGGCCCGAGAATGTCGGCCCTGGGGGTGCAGGTCCTGGGAGTGGGGGCGGTGCTGCCACTGGGGCGGAGCCCCGTCCTGCACCCCGCCCAGCTCTGCTCTGCTTGGGTCATGGGGCTCAGCTCCCCACTGGAGAGGAGTCCTTCCCCAGGACCGTGACTGTGGCGTCTAGCCCCATGGCCCCCAGACCCTCCTTTCTGTCGGGCTCCTCAGGGTATCTCCTCCCCCTCTAGGACCCAAGCTGTTGCTGCACAGATGTCAGAACCTGCAGCTTTCACGGACCTTTCTGGGCAGAAGAAAGGTACGGGCCGGGTGGGCACACGTCTGTGCAGGGAGGGGCGGGGGCGTGCAGGAGGCTGCTCGACGGGCCACCCCAGGACTGTGGAGCTGCTCCAGGCTGTGTGGCCCTGGGAACACAGCTGGCCCTGCTCAGGCCGGGGCTCCCTGGCCTCTTGTGGACCCAATTCTGACCTGCACAGGGCCCCAGCACCTTGGCATATTTTAAACTCATTTTTTATGGAAAACACTGAGTCTGCACAGAAGTCAGGAGGAGCCATGCATCCATGTGCCCACTGCCTGTGGGATCATTCTTCACCGACCTGCTTCATTAATATGCCCACTCTTCCCTCTCCTGCGCTGCCCACCATTGGTCATCCTCAGTGCCCCTTAACCCCGACACCTCCCCTGACCCATCGCGCCCGCAGAGGATCCCACGTCCATCAAGGTCAACCTGAAGCTGCCAGGGTTCTGGCCCCCCAGCCCTTGAGCCACAGTTTGGGGTCCTGCCCACTGCCTTCGGTGTCCAGAACCTGTCCACGTGTTATACTGCCTGGCGGGGCTCCCTCTGATCTCTGTCCCTCCCGAGCCCCTTCCCAGACCAAAGGCCAAGTGGACAACAGGAATGAAAGTGGCACAGACCTCCCCCCACTGGGGAACCCCAGAGCTCCAAGCTCCAAGCCTATCCTGACCACTTGCTCAGCTTTGCCCTCAGCTCCCCGTCACCCACCGCCCTACACCTTTGCAGGCTGCCCGCTGCCCCCAACCGTCTGCTCTCCCTCCAGCCACCTACTGCCTCCACTGCCCAGACCCTGCTTCCCCAAGTTCACGGTCCCCTAAATCACACCTCGGCTCAGATGCCTTTGAGCCAGAGAGACCCCAGTCATGGTCAGTATGTCCTGCGTCTGGCAGTGCTGGCCCAGCTCTGTGTGTGCAGCGGCACCTCTGACCCCCAGCCCGGGATGGCCTGGGTGCCTGTGTCCAGGCACGTCTGTGGTGCACACAGCTGGCTGAGCCCGGCTCTGGCCCCAGCAGAGCTCCTGGGAGCAGAGGCCCGTGGCCATCTGTCCTTGGCCGAGGTGGGCACGGAGGAGTTCCTGAAGAAGCTCACCTCGCAGATCACAGAGATGGTGTCGGCCAAGATCACACAAGGTAAGGCCGGCTGATGATGGAGCGAGCTCCGGGGACGGCCGAGACCGAGCCCCAGGCCTGGGCCCTCCCCACCCGCCTGCCCCGGAGACCCGTGGGGAGACGGCTGGCGGGGCAGGCCCTTTGAGGGCCTCCTGTGTCCTCTGTCCCCCAGCGAGGCTGCAGGTGCCTGGAGTTGACAGTGACGAGGAGTCAAAGACGCCGTCCGCGTCCCCCCGGCATGGCCGTTCACGCCCCTCTTCCAGCGTCCAGGAGTCGTCTTCGGAGTCCGAGGACGGGGACTCCCGGGGAGAGGTGCGTGGGCAGGCGAGGGGTGGGGGGAGGGGAGGTGAGAGCCGTGGGGGCAGGGCACAGGTCAAGCTGGTATGGGGGAGGAGGAGGTGTGGGGAACACCCCTGCGTGGCCAGCATCACCACCCTGACTCAGGATATGCCCAGCATCCCCAAGACTCCTCCTGGTCCCTTTGGAGGGGGCCACCTGCACTCCTGAAAGGAGTTCCCTACCCGGAGCTGGGTCAGGCCTCTTTTAGAGCCTCAGAGAATGTCAGAATGGCTGTGTCTTCTCCACTGACTCCTCGGAGCCTTGTGACCTGAGGCCTTGGGAGGCCCACTGGCCTTCTCCCAGCCCTGCTCCCCTCTGGTGTCTGCACGGGGTCCCTGGGGCCCTGGGAGACCTGGCTGGCCCCAGCCCAGGTCCGACACAGCAGCTCCTCCGTCTCACCCGCAGATCTTTGACATCTACGTGGTCACGGCTGACTACCTGCCGCTGGGGGCTGAGCAGGATGCCATCCTGCTGCGGGAGGGCCAGTACGTGGAGGTCCTGGACTCTGCCCACCCCCTGCGCTGGCTCGTGCGCACCAAACCCACCAAAAACAGCCCCTCTCGGCAGGGCTGGGTGTCCCCTGCCTACCTGGACAAGCGGCTCAAGGTAACTAGGCGGCTGGGGGGGTGGTCCTGGGGTCGCAGGTGGGAGCCTGATCCTCGAAGGGCAGGCCAGTGCTCAGGCTGCCCGTGCCTCCGTCTCTCACCAGCTGTCTCCCGAGTGGGGGCCGGCGGAGGCCCCTGAGTTCCCTGGGGAGGCTTTGTCCGAGGACGAGTACAAGAGAAGGTTGAGGTGAGGGCCCCAGACGGGTGCTGTGGGAAGGTGGCTTCCTGCGGGGGAGCTCTGAGACTCTGGTTTCCTATGGCGGGGCCGCCTGGTGGGTGTGGGGGCGCCCTTCCCTCCGTCACCTTGCCCGGCCCATTCTGAAAGTGGTCAGCACAGTGCGTGTGGCCTAGAAGTGCCCCGGTGAGCAGCTCAGCTCTGGGGTCTCCCCTCACGGCTGCCGCCCTGCCAGTGCCATCATCCGGGACCTGCTGAGCTCAGAGCAGTCCTTCGTGGGCGAGCTGCAGTTCCTGCAGAGCCACCACATGCAGTACCTGGACCGCTGCCCCCACGTGCCCGCAGCCGTGGCCAGCCAGAAGGCGGTCATCTTCCGAAACGTGCAGGACATCGGCCACTTCCACAGCAGGTGGGCCTCGAGGCGTTTCCTTTGGTCTGTATGTGTGTACATGCATGTACGTGCTCACGCACATGTGTGCGTGCTCAGATACAGACTGCACACACCAGTCACACTTGCACAGGACACACTCACGTGGATGCTCACACTTGCACACGTGTGTCCTGGCAGGCTTGGGCCTCAGGGGAGTGGGCAGGGGTTGAAAGCAGACAGGACTTTGGATGACTTGATTGACCCATTGGTGCACCGCAGCCCTGTACAAGGACACACATGTCCCCAGGAACTCAGGCACGTGTGCCTCGCTTACGCCCAGAAGTGCCTGCAGCACACCTACCCACTGCCACCCAAGGACACGGGCATGCCCCAGAAGTGTGCAGACATTACATACAAGTACATATGCATACCTGCACACACACACACCCTTTCATGTGTGGGCATGCATGTGCATGGTACACACACGTATACATGTTCACCCACAGACATATCGGCCCTTACATATTTACACGCCCACAAACACGTGTACACGCAGCACACGTGAAAACGTGTGTGTCCCTCACAGCCCAGAGCACTGACTTTCATCCATAGGCACTCGGGCCTGGGTAGCAGCCTGTTCCTTCCCAAACCCTCAGTTTGGGGCTGGATTGTGGGTCCCGGGTGGGGGTCCTGATGTCAGCCCTCACCTGACCACAGTTCCCCTCTGTGGCAGCTTCTTACAGGAGTTGCGTAGCTGTGACACAGATGACGATGTGGCCATGTGCTTCATCAAGAACCAGGCAGCCTTCGAGAAGTATCTGGAGTTCCTGGTGGGCCGAGTGCAGGCTGAGTCGGTGATGGTCAGCACAGCCGTGCAGGAGTTCTACAAGGTGACCCTCTGCCCCACAGCCCTGCCTCCACTCCCCAGGCGTCATGCTGGCACCTGGCTTTTTAGATCATCTCCCCTGACCCTGCTCAGGCTCCGCTTTGCCTTCCCATGACCCCTGACCTCCAGGTTAGAAAAGCAGGCAGGGTCCCCCCACCAACCCTGCTCGCCCACCAGCTCTGCTCATGTGTTAGTCGGTGACACTGGCCACCCCCTGGGGCAGCAGTGGGACCCACCCGGGGAGGAGGGTCTGTGTGTGAACATGCCAGCTCCCCTGGGCCCCCAGTCCACCAGCCTTCAGACTCTGGGGACACATGCCCTCTGGGGGCTGCACCCCCCTGCCCTGAGCCCAGTGCTGTGGTCCCCACAGAAATACACAGAGGAGGTGCTGTCAGCCGCGGACCCCTCGCAGCCACCGCCCCCACCGCTGCAGCACTTCCTGGAGCAGCCGGTAGAGCGGGTCCAGCAGTACCAGGCCCTGCTCAAGGTAAGCAGTCCAGTCCAGGGGCTGTGGGGCTGCCTCGTGCCCAGCCACCCCAGGCCTTGCCTTGACCTGCAGTCTTCCGCAGGAGCTGATCCGCAACAAGGCACGGAACGGCCAGAATTGTGCGCTGCTCGAGCAAGCCTACGCGGTGGTGTCGGCCCTGCCGCAGCGAGCGGAGAACCAGCTGCACGTGTCGCTCATGGAGAACTACCCTGGCACCCTGGAGGCCCTGGGCGAGCCCATCCGCCAGGTCTGGGGCTGAGGGTGCAGAGGCGGGCCCTGGGCAGGGGGAGAGTGGACGCCAGGCTGGGCCTGGCTGACCACGCTGACTGCTCACCCAGGGCCACTTCATCGTGTGGGAAGGGGCACCGGGCGCGCGGATGCCCTGGAAGGGCCACCATCGGCACGTCTTCCTGTTCCGCCACCACCTGGTGGTCTGCAAGCCCCGGCGGGACTCGCGCACCGACACCTTCAGCTATGTCTTCCGGAACATGATGAAGGTTGGCAGGGTGCCGGTGGAGCCTGGGTGGGCAGAGGGAGGCCATGCAGGGTGGGCAGGGGAAGGCCAGGGGTCAGTCCTGCAAGCCTGGCCTCGGTGACCACGGCCTGCTCTGCGTCCCGGCAGTCAGCTGTGCCCTCCTCCCACAGCTGAGCAGCATCGACCTGAACGACCAGGTGGAGGGCGATGACCGAGCCTTTGAGATCTGGCACGAGCGGGAGGACTCCGTGCGCAAGTACCTGCTACAGGCACGGACTGTCATCACCAAGAACTCCTGGGTGAAGGAGATCTGTGGCATCCAGCAGCGCCTGGCCTTGCCCATCTGGCGTGAGTGCCTGGGCTCTGGGGGCAAGGCTGGGAGGGAGGCCGAACCTTCGCCTGGGCGCCTGGCTTGAGAGCACACGAGTCGGCAGGTCCTGAGCTCTGGGCCCTTGTCGCCACCTGGGCAAGCACAAGGGAAGATACTCAATTCTAGGGCAAGTGGCACGCTCCACCCTTGGTTAGCCAGATGTGGTGAGGGCCTTGGGGTCTGCGCTTGGCTGCCCAGCACAGGGCAGGCAGGCTGTGTTAGGGATGTGAAGGACCCAGCAGTCTTGGTTTTGCTTCTTAGAATGGGAGAGAGGATCCCGTTTCAACACGCCCTCCTTTCCCACAGACCCTACCATGCTCCCGACGTATCCTGGGCCTCTGTCCCTTCCCCTGAGTCCCGTCCAGCTCCTAGTGTGGTATTGCGGATAAAGGTTCCTAAGGGGTGGTGTCTGCCGCAACCATTTGTTGGTCAGGGGGCTCTAGTCCTGCCAGGTGGACACCTGAGGGAATGCGTGAATGATCAAGGCCCTGTGTTTGTATCCCCAGGCCCCCCCGATTTTGAAGAAGAACTGGCCGACTGCACAGCTGAGCTGGGCGAGACAGTCAAGCTGGCCTGCCGTGTGACGGGCACACCCAAGCCCATTGTCAGCTGGTACAAAGGTAAGCCTTTGAGTGCTAACCCTGCAACAAGCCAGAGCCACCCAGAGGGAATCAGGCTGGGCAGGGGGCCGGGGATCCAGGGTGGGGTCTGACGGAGGGCCTGGGCACACGAGACAGGCCTCCTGTTCTGGTTGCCTGCCCCTGAATCAAAACCAGGCTGGCGGGTGAGCACAGCGGGTGAGGTGACGCACCGTGTGCATCATGCTTTTGACACGGTGACTCTGCCCACCCCTGAATCTCGCTCATTCGTTCCCTCATTTGATCATGTTTGTGCTGAGTGCCCAGGACCATTCCAGGTGCGTGGGAAATAGCAGTGACCAGGAGGGTCATCCTTGTCAGTGGATAGAGGCTGGCCTTCTCAGGGAGGAGACAGATGATAAGCACATAGACAGATATGCAATATGAAGTCAGAAGTGGCATGACCAGCCAGAGAAATACGGAAGAATGAAGGGCAGACAGCTTGGAGGAACTCCCAGCGGGCAGCGAGGCTCCAGGGGAACAGGAGGCAGAGGGGAGCTGAGGCGGGCGTAGTGGGGAATGAGGCTGGAGAATGCTGGGCCTTGAGGGCCGCCGTGTGGTTCTCAGGTCTGACTCCCCTATGTGATGGGAGCTGCAAACTCCGGGGGCCCCCAGGAACACCTTCACTTCCAACATCAACTTCAGGACCCCAAGACCATTCTCACTGGGTACCAACTGCACATGGGGGTGTCCCACAGCCACCTTCAGGTTCAGCGATTGAATCTCAGGGGCTCCACGGAACTCAGCACAACCATGCCAGTCAGGGTTCTGGTTCACCGCAGTAAGAGGGAAGCGGTCCATGGGGTGGGATCCATGTGAGGGTCCAGGCGTGGCCCAGATGTCCCCACAATAGAGTCGTGTGGACATGCCTGTGTCTGTCACCTCTGATGTGTCCCAGCACAGGTAGCGTGGCCCACCAGGGACACTCCCCTGCTGAGCCTCACTGTGTCAGCTTTCTGTCGGGGCCCTCACACAGACTGCCCCCCGCACGACTGACCTCAGTCTGCAGCCCCTCTGAGGTCAAGCTGATGCCGTATGGCCTAAAGTCCCCCACCCCCACCAGCTCACAGTGTAGCCTAGACCATCTGTTGAGTCTCAAAGTCTCAGGTAAACTGTGATACTCTCACTAGGTCTCATCTGGGCTGAAAGGTAAGTCCTGAGCCCTAGTCTGGTCCCAATAGCCGAGTCAGGGATCCAGGGTGGGGTCTGACGGAGGGCCTGGGCACACGAGACAGGCCTCCTGTTCTGGTTGCCTGCCCCTGAATCAAAACCAGGCTGGCGGGTGAGCACAGGGGTGAGGTGGGGCAGAGGCGGAGCTTGCTCCCGTGTGCATCATGCTTTTGACACGGTGACTCTGCCCACCCCTGAATCTCGCTCATTCGTTCCCTCATTTGATCATGTTTGTGCTGAGTACCCAGGACCATTCCAGGTGTGTGGGAAATAGCAGTGACCAGGAGGGTCATCCTTGTCAGTGGATAGAGGCTGGCCTTCTCAGGGAGGAGACAGATGATAAGCACATAGACAGATATGCAATATGAAGTCAGAAGTGGCATGACCAGCCAGAGAAATACGGAAGAATGAAGGGCAGACAGCTTGGAGGAACTCCCAGCGGGCAGCGAGGCTCCAGGGGAACAGGAGGCAGAGGGGAGCTGAGGCGGGCGTAGTGGGGAATGAGGCTGGAGAATGCTGGGCCTTGAGGGCCGCCGTGTGGTTCTCAGGTCTGACTCCCCTATGTGATGGGAGCTGCAAACTCCGGGGGCCCCCAGGAACACCTTCACTTCCAACATCAACTTCAGGACCCCAAGACCATTCTCACTGGGTACCAACTGCACATGGGGGTGTCCCACAGCCACCTTCAGGTTCAGCGATTGAATCTCAGGGGCTCCACGGAACTCAGCACAACCATGCCAGTCAGGGTTCTGGTTCACCGCAGTAAGAGGGAAGCGGTCCATGGGGTGGGATCCATGTGAGGGTCCAGGCGTGGCCCAGATGTCCCCACAATACAGTCGTGTGGACATGCCTGTGTCTGTCACCTCTGATGTGTCCCAGCACAGGTAGCGTGGCCCACCAGGGACACTCCCCTGCTGAGCCTCACTGTGTCAGCTTTCTGTCGGGGCCCTCACACAGACTGTCCCCCCGCACGACTGACCTCAGTCTGCAGCCCCTCTGAGGTCAAGCTGATGCCGTATGGCCTAAAGTCCCCCACCCCCACCAGCTCACAGTGTAGCCTAGACCATCTGTTGAGTCTCAAAGTCTCAGGTAAACTGTGATACTCTCACTAGGTCTCATCTGGGCTGAAAGGTAAGTCCTGAGCCCTAGTCTGGTCCCAATAGCCGAGTCCACTCCGGGTTTTGGGGGACGGTCCCAGAGAAGTCCATCCTCCCATCCTGCTTGTCCACAACCAGTCAGGCTCATGTGTCCACCACAGATGGCTGAGAATGGGGCTGGAGAAGATACACAGGCCATTTTGCTGGGACATGAAAGGAGGGCCATCCCCAGCCCATGGGTAGGGCTTCAGAGCAGAGTCGGTGGATGAAGTGACTGGTTCCCCTAGCACTCTTCTGGAGTCTGTGGGGTCCTGAAGTCTGCAGTGTTCCCTGCTGCCTTGCAGAACCCATGCAGTGCAACCCCACTTCCCCACCATCCCTTCTCATACCAGACCTCTCATCTGTGACAGTGGGTTCAGAGAGACAAACCCAGTCAATAGAATTAATTGAAAACAGGCCCCTCAGCCACCACCCTTCAGCTAGGCTGCCCTCAGGAGCATGTGCCAGCTGGGCTGTGTCTGAGAGAAAGGGAGGTTGCACCATGCCCAAGAACAGTCAGGGTGGGATCCTGGATTCCCAACTGTATCCAGACCATCACTGTCTTTTTCATCTGGACCTTTACCCGGTGAGCAGCTTGCAGGCTTAGACTTCTCTGAGGACAGCTGTGTCTGGGGAGTGGAGGAAGCAAGGGCCAGCAGGTGGTCAGTTCACGTTGGGCAGCCCCCACGAACAACAGGTTCTCAGACTGCTGGTGGGCCAGGCGGTGCACACAGCCATGTGGTGTGGCCAGAGCTGGTGGTTCACTGAGCTTAAGCACCCTCACAGTTGGAGACACCCAAATGGTGAGAGACACCCATGTGCCAGGTGAGAGCATCACCCTGGGCAGTACCGTCTGGCATGCACCGGAACTCGGCCCCACGCGCAGCGCAGCCGCTCCGCACAGGACTCCGGGGGTCTGGGTGGGAGCCCTGTCATGCTCTTATCTTGTCTCCATGGTTCATGGACCCGAGAAGGCGTGTCTTCAGCCCACCCATCTGTAGTCTGTTAAATGTCAGACTAAATAGCCAGGGTGTTTACAACATCTCACATAACCTTTGCCAGGAAAAATAGCATCTGGCAGGGGAAGGCAGACTCATCCACCAGCAAAACATTATTCATTTGGTGGAAGTTTAAGTGTCGGGGGCAGAAGGCCACCTTCTAATTCACCCCTGGGGCAGGGAGCCCCGGTGATGGTCTTGGCCCCTGCATGCCAGCAGGAGGGAAAAGCAGTTGGCCGCAGTGCCCAGGACTCCTGCCGGGAGCTGTTTGCCTGCACAGGAGACCCCATTACGGCTGTCCTGTGCTCGCCAGCTGGGGCCACGGGAGCAGTGACTGCCTGCTTCCGCTCTCTGTGGCTCTCCAGGGTTGCTGATTCTGGACTCGGCCTCTCCTGTTAGCTGGGCTGCCTTCACATCTCCCCAGAGGCCGGCAGCTCCCTTTCTCCTGCTGGGGTTCTGCTGACAGTCTTGGCAAGTGACACGTTGCTGGGCTGGAGCTGGTTACACTCTCCGTAGCCTGTCCACATGTAGGGCCTCGCCCCCCTCGTGTGGAGCAGGGTGTTCCAAGCGGCAGACACCAGGGTCCAGAGGTGGAAGCCATGGTCACAGCACCCTGACCTGGCCCCAAGGGGACAGTTTTCTTCTTGCTCTGTGGGAACCTTGCTCAAATCCCATCAGTGGAATCCAGACACCTGTATCCAACAGAGCCATCAAAATCTAAGCTCTCCCCGTGCCTGCATGCCTGGCGTATCAGAGGGGCATGTTGGGCCTCCAGTCCCTCTGAGCCCAGGGAGACCAAGGCCCACTTCTGATGATTTTTCTCTTAAAGTAGCAGTAAGGGTGGAAGAGGTGGAAGGGCGCAGGGATGGAAGAAGACGCACTTCTGTAGCTCAGTAATACTTAGCGTTTTGGGCTCACTCAGTGAGGCGGCAAGATTGTCCCTACAGATCCTATCTGTTAGCTTCAGGGACCCCTTGACTTAACAGCCACTTTGCGTTGTTCTCAGGGTCTCTGTGTCCCTTGCCTGGCATGATGGTGACATTTTGGATGGGGTCCACTTAGCAGAGGTTTCCACTGGCCCAGAGCCGTTGCAACATCTCCCATCCCCTTTCTGGGTCTTCCCATGAGGGTTGAGTGAGGTGTCCAAGGAGGCAGGACCACCTGTCAGGAGGCATTCATCTCTCTCTGGATCACCTTCTCCAGCGTGTCACCAGCATTCTAGACACCATCCAGGTGCCATGAGTCCGTGTGCCAGCTGTTGACCGTTCCCCATAGAGGTTTGTCTATGTCAGGGAGTTGTCCCAAGCCAGGGTTCGCAGCAAACACCAGGGTCCTTTCCTGTTATCTCTAAAGGAATCCTTCGTGCATTTGGTACCCAGGCCTCATCCCTGAGTTCTGGCCCTGCTCCTGCCTGCCTTCTGCCCCCAGGATCAACGATGGCTTCCCCTTTGCACCCAGTGTGGGTGTGTATTTCTGTGACTGGACTCAGAAGGGCACAGAGACTTCCTGGGATTCAACGTGGGTTCTAATCTTTGTTGGGAAGTGGGGCTGACCCGAGGTGAACCAGCAACGTCCCCGCTGTAGGGAGAGAGAATGCATCAGCCGAGGCACCATCCAGGAGACTTTGAGCCCACTTCTCAGTGCTCGGCTTGGAGCTGCCTGCTCAGTCTCTCCATTCACAGGAAATAGCTGTTTCTTGCATGATGAGCATGATGTTTGGGCAGTACGTCCACCACTGATTCCCATGAACACCCTTCCCTCAGGTCTATTAACTGGTCCGCGGGCCACCACCTTTCTCTCTTGGAATGGTGTGTCTCTTACAGTGTCCCTTCCTTGCTGCCAAAATTGCAAATCAGAAACTGAAGGACCTGAGATACGTCTTGGCTTGCAAGCCAGCAAGCCAGTCAGCTAGCCAGTCAGCTAGCCAGATTACAAATACAAGACCCCAAGTCATAGACCAAGGTTGTTTGTCACAGCAAAAGCAGCAGCATTTTGCATGGGCTTCCCATGCCTTGATCTCCACATCCAGGCACCAGATGTCAGCTTCATGCAGTGAACTGTTCCACAAGAGAGGAACCCCGAGTTTTAGGAGATACTGAACTGTTAGGGGGCTGCTGGCGCATCTTCCCCTCCTTCCCTCCAAAGAGAAAAGTGATGTACGGCCCTAGAAGGCAGTCACATGTCTCACAGGGAAGGAAACTGAGGCCTTTGTCTCTGCTGACATGGATGGCTCCTGGGGGAGGTTTCCAAGGAGGCAAGACCACCTGTCAGGAAGCACCTACATCTCTCTGGATCACTTTCTTCAGCGTGTCACCAGCATCCTAGACACCATCCAGGTGCCACGAGCCCACGTGCCAACTGTTGACAGTTCCCCTTAGAGGTGTGTCTGTGTCAGGGAGTAGGTGACAGGGAACACCTGTCTGTGGGTGTCTTTGCCCAAAGAGTCTGACTGTGCAGGAATGCCTGAAGTCCGGGGAGAATTGTTTTCTGACAGCAAGATGAAGGCTGAGAACTGACCACAGATTGACAGTGGACTTCCCTGACAGCTCAGTTGGTAAAGAAAGAATCTACCTGCAATGCACGAGACCCTGGTTCAATTCCTGGGTCAAGAAGATCCGCTGGAGAATCAATAGGCTACCCACTCCAATATTCTTGGGCTTCCCTTGTGGCTCAGCTGGTAAAGAGTTCACCTGCAATTCGGGAAGCCTGGGTTCGATCCCTGAGTTGGGAAGATCACCTGGAGAAGGGAAATACTCCAGTATTCTGGCCTGGAGAATTCCATGGACTGTATAGTCCATGGAGTTGCAAAGAGTCGCCCATGGCTGAGCGACTTTCACTTTGACTGACAGTGTCACTGGTTTCCTTGCCAAGGGCTATGTTGTGTGAGGTGAAAGCCAAGAGGTGTGGTTTGGGAAAAGATGGAAAGGGAAGCTCCTGGAGACAGAGAATGAGAAGAGCTCTTGGAATTACCAGGCAGGGAAATAGGGTGGCAGCTGGAAGCTTTTGCGGGGGGGGGAGGGGGGGGGTATGTTTTTAAATTGTTAAGTTTCTCTGTGAATCAGATGTCAAGATGTTTGAACTTAAACAACCCTGTTCAGAATGTACAGAGCTATTGGAAAGTGTTCATCTATGAAATTTTACATATTTATGGAGGAAAGATTTCTTCATAGTGAAAGATGCATATCTCCCCACCCCTCTCACAGGAAGGAAACGTGGTACAACTGCAGATGTTAGTCAGATGGGCATTTGGATGAGGATGATTAAAGAGGTGGTGCTGTCTGAGTATCTGCTAGGTGGGGTCAGTACCTTGGGGGAGTTACAGAAGCACTAATAAGTTGAGGGTCTTATTATCAGAAGGAGACGTCCTCTGGTGGGTTTGGGTCCCCCAGCCTGGCCCCTGCCTCCAGCTAAGAGCTGGCCTTTCAGAGGCCACACTGTGCACAGTGAGGTCTGGGGAAGTAGATGGTGCAGGTCAGTACCACCACTCCATTCAGGGCTCCAGGTCAGCCTGGCCAGCTAGACCCTTGGCAGGGAGTCCACTGGCTGTTGTGTGATGGGGTAGCTTCGTCCGTCAGACCCTGTGACTGTGACCCCCAGACAGGTCCAGCCTTTTGTCCCCGATGGTGTTCCCCCCGTGATGGCCCTCCCCTCCTTTCCAGATGGGAAGCCAGTGGAGGTGGACCCTCACCACATACTCATTGAAGACCCCGATGGCTCCTGTGCACTCATCCTGGACAACTTGACTGGTGCTGACTCTGGCCAGTACATGTGCTTTGCAGCCAGTGCTGCTGGCAATGCCAGCACGCTGGGCAAAATATTGGTGCAAGGTGAGCCCTGAGGGGCAGGCCCAGGCCCCACCCTGTGGGCATTGTAAAGGTATCAGCCCTGCTTGGGCGCATATGGATGGAGCTGCAGGGATGGTTGTGAATATCTGACAAGTCTGGGAGACTGACTGGCGGGGGTGGGGTCCGGTCCATCACAGTGTCTCTCTCTCAGTCTCTGTGCCTCTATCTGTCTACGTCTCTGCCTCCACCTCCTTCTCTGTTTCTTTCTCTGTATCCATCTGTTTATCTGTTTCTGTCTCTCTCTTTTTGTCTCTGTCTCCATCTCTCTGTCTCTGTTTTTCTTTCCATGTGTCTGTCTCTGTCTCTGTGTCTCTCCGTTTCTTTCCCTCCATCTCTCAAATCTCTCTTTCGTCTCCCCACCTTCCCTGGGCCCTGCAGTCCCGCCTCGGTTTGTGAACAAGGTCCGGGCAGTGCCCTTTGTGGATGGAGAAGATGCCCAGATCACCTGCACCATCGAAGGTGCCCCATATCCTCAGATCAGGTGGGCCAGGTGGCTTGGGGGTGGGGCAGCAGGGGGCACGCGGGCCTACCCTGGGGCTGTCCTGCCTGCCTGAGAGGTGTGTGTGGGCAGCCTGTTAGCTGGGTCAGGGCCAGCCACTCACAGGACGGCCGCCTGTCCGCTGAGGAGTGGGCGTGAGTGGGCTGCAGTTCCAAACACGGCTCTAACTGCCGTGACGAGGACACAGGACCGCCTGTTCTTTGGGTGGGTGGCGTCCAGGAGGGTGGGCTCTGTAAAGATACTTGGAACTAGGGGATGGGTGAGGAGAGAGTCCTGAGCATGGGCGGGAGACCCACCTGACTGCGCTTGGGGCTGGCTGCAGGTGGTACAAGGATGGCGCCCTGCTGACCCCTGGGGGCAAATACCAGACCCTGAGTGAGCCCCGCAGATGCTGTTGCTGCTGGCAGCCTGCAGGGGGCACTGTGGTGCCTGCTCCCAAAGGCAATTCTCAGAGACGGAGGCAGACCCCAGCCAGCTCTGGACCTGTGCTGGCCACATAGTGATTTAAATGTAAATCAGTTAACGCTAACGCTTAAGTAAAGATTCACTTCTAATTCACGCGCTCAGAGCCCACGTGGCCAGTGTGCTAGACAGGGCAGGTGGAGAGTGTCGCCCCGTCCCAGGGAGCTCTGGTCGAGGGACACGGCACCCTCACCCATGTGGCCAGGCTCTGCGGCTCTTGAAATAGCTGCGGTGGGCCCTCCACGCCACCGCTAGCCTGTACGGCCTCAAAGAGACTGCCCGGGCCCCCTGGGGAGCCACGGGCTGGAGGTGAGCCCCTGCTCTGTGCCCTGCAGTTGGTGAACCGGCTGGGCTCCAAACGGAGCCGTGCGGAGCTGCTCATGCAGAGCCCCGTGCTGCAGGCCCGGGAACAGCACCGCGTGGAGAGGCTCGCGGCCATGGAAGGTGAGTGCTTCCGCGGGCAGTCCAGACACCCCCAGGCCGGGGCAGGCCCGGGAGGGGTAGAACCCTTAGCCCTTCTCAGCAGAGCACACTTCCTGCAGGAAGGGAAGCACGTTCAGAGGAGGGACTCAGGGGATGGGGGCCAGCACTGGCGGCCCGTCCCTGACTGGAGCAGCGTATGTGGGGGCCCGAGAAGGGTGGGCTGTGAACCAGAGCCTGGAAAGGGCTGACGGGGTTGTCTGAAGGGTCGGGGGGACCTCCTAAGCCCTGCTAATAACCATTCCTGGGGGGAATAGCAAGTGCATAAGCAGGCCAGGCCTGGGCCTGGAGCTGCCTGCCAGGCAGCGTTCAGAGAGGCCTTACAGGATGGGGGCAGGGGCAGCTCCACAGAAGCAGGCTGCCGGGTCCCAGCTTGGCCCCTGGGAGAAGGAGCGGTGTCAGTGGCACGATCCTTCCACAGAGGGCGGCCCTGGCTGAGGAAAGGACAGGGTGCTGTGGCTTGGCCTGCGCCAGGCTGGGAGGGCTCTGGGCTGCAGAATGGGCCTCACTAGGGAGCAGCATGCTCCCAGGCAGGAGGTGAAGGGTGACAGGATGCCTCCCTCCGTGGCTCCAGGGTCCCAACCAGGGTGTCTGGGATGGGGAGGAGGGCATTTGGTGTCTGTTCAGTTCAGAGAGCGGCCTTCCAGGGCTTGCAGGGCGGGTGACAGCCTCAGGGAGTTTCTCCTGGTCTGAATGCACTTACCTGGAAGGGGCTGCCAGGACAGGGGCTGAGCCTCCCATCCTCGGGGGCATGCAAGCGGAAGCTACACAGAAACACCTAGGGGAGCTCCAGCTCTCGCAGTAGGGGGTGGGTTGGGATCTGTGTCCTCCCAAGTCCTGAAAGTTGGCTCCTCTGATGCCTTGAGCCCCCAGATCCAGTCCCTCCCAGGGTCCAGCCTGCGGGGTCTGCTGTCTGTCTGGACTCTCACTGAGTCAGCCATCTGGTGCCAGAAGCGCAGGCCTGGGGCCTTTCCCACTCTGTAGGGCCCGCCCAGAGACCCTTCCTCCCTCGTGGGCAGGGGTCCTATTCGTCAAGCCCCAAAGGGCACTAGTCAAGCCGGCTCCCACTGGAGGCCCCCACGGCGTCTGCCGGCACTTCTGCCGTGCCCCTGGTGGTCTTAGGTGGCGCACGGCAGGGCTCAGCACCCTGTCTCGGCGGCAACAAGCGCGTCCCGTGGAACTCTCACTCCACCGTCACGCTGGGCCTCTGTCTGGGCCCCGTGGACGCAGGGTCTGGAGCGGGGGCGGCACACCTATGTTGGAAATGGCCTTGTTGCCTCACAAGGCGAGGCCAGTCTTCACAGCGCCTGGGACTGGAGCCCGCCGCCTCCTGCTTCCTAATCCTGTCCTGCTGCTTCATCACTAACCCAGTGGCTTTGCAGCCAGAACGGGCCCTGGCTCGCCCCGTGGAGTGGGGCGCTGCCCCCTCGCTTGTGAAACTGCCCAGGGCCGAGCGCCCCGCTTGGCATGGCTGTAACCCTTCCATAGTCTCCAGTACTCGCTGGATCCCAGAGCTGCTCTGGTGGCAGGTCAGATGGGGAAAGGTGCCAGGAGTGTAGCAGCCCACAGGGGCCCTGGTCCCCACCCCCAGAAGCAACAGAATGAGTCCACCGTCGGGGAGGATCAGGGCCCTGGATCGGTCACTGTTCTGTGCACAGGGGGTGGCCGACAGGCCACAAACGGGTTGGTGTTCTCTGGGTCCAACTTCGTCTAAAGACACAGGGCATTGTGGCAGCATCCCATTCTCTCTCCCAGTAGGCTCCCCTCTCCCCAGGAGGCTGCCGGCAGAAGCACATGCAGGCACGCACACAGTCACACACATGTGCGTGCACACACATACATTACGGGCACACGTGCATGCACACGCAAACACACGCATGCATAGGAAATGCGGCACCCAAATGCCATACACACGCAGCTGGGACATTTAATTCATGTTCATCTAGTTGGAAACAAGGCTAAAATAGTCACGGGCATCTGGTCATCTAAAGAAGTCCTTTTCCATGTGGCACAAAATCCCACAGACTAGGAGGCTGTGTGCCCTGGGCCATGTCTCTTGACTTTTCTGAGCCTCCTCCTCAGCTTTCCCCCGGTCTGGTGAGAGGGACTGTTGAGATGTATGGGTGCTGGTAGCTACTGGGCTGCCTGCTCACCCACTGATGAGGCTGGGAGGGGCATATCTGTGGCAAGCTTGACCCTGCCCAGAAGCTACAGAGGAAGAGGCCTCCAGATGGTGGGGAGTAGGTGCTGCCGGGTCCTGGATGAGTCCCAGGCTGTCTCTGGAGTGTGAGTCCCTGTCAGGAACCACAGGGCTTACCCTGCTGGCTCCGGGGAGGAGGACAGCTAGCACAATCAAGAACAGTTGAGTGTGTGGGATGCTCCTGGCTCGCTCAGAGCCCAGCACCCTGCTCAGACATCCTCAGATTGCTCCCGGAGGGCCTGCTGTGGCCTGACGCCCAGCACTCAGACGGGCTACCTCTAAGACTCCAGAGTTTCTGCTCTGGAGAGACGTCCTTTGGTCTTAGAATTTTTTGTGAACTAGGCACCAGCCCTCCACATCCCAGTTTGGCTGCCAGACGCAGGCCATTCCTTTCCCCTTTGTAGGCCTCGGTTTCTATGAAAAGAGGAACTTCAGGGCCTGACAAATACCCAGGGCTCCCTGGGTACATGGACTAAAGGAAGAGCTTGGATTTCTGTGTGGGCAGCCTGAACTAGGCACTTATTCTCCATGAAGCTCCTGCAAGACCCCTCGAGGGGGACAGGGCTTCCTGCCTCACGGGGGACACATGGTCACCGCCACGCCTCATTCCCCAGACCCCCGGAGGAGGCACCGTCACTGTTTCAAAGGTGAAGGGCCTGGGGCTCTGAGCCGAGACATTCCTCCCGGGGGGTGCACAGTGAAGCAGGGTTCGGAGCCAGTGTCCTAAGCAGAATGAGTTACCACGCTGCCGGTCCACTCGGAGAGCTCAGCCCCCGGCACTGGCTGATCTGTAACCCTCGCTATTCCGACTGTTCTCTTTGTAGTCATTGAACAGGAGACTAAGGTCCCCAAGAAAACCGTCATCATGTAAGTGCAGGCGTGTTCCTGACCTTCCCTCTGACTGCAGTGCTCCCTGCATGCCCGCTAACCTCCCCGGGTCTTGCCTGTGCAGCCTGGCCCCTCGCTTGCGTGACTGCTTGCTCCCATGGCCTTTGTCCACCACGCAGACTGCCAGCACTTTGCAGACACTCCCAGGGCATTCACCTCCCCTGGAGACCTTGGCTACCACATTTCAAAGCTGTCCCTCCAGGGTCCAGGTACCCTCTCCATGGCTCTGTTGTCTCAGCAGGGTCGGCTTATTCTGCACGTCCCAGGGCTCACCCAGGGCGTGGACTCAGTCATACTAGTCAGGGAAGAGCAAGGCCTGAAAGTTTCCTCTCCAGTGTGCTGGAGGCAGAATGCTGCCATCTGGTATCCTAGAACCTAGAGCATTGCCCAGGGAGACTTTCTGTGATGATGGAAGTGATCTCTATTTACACTCCACCGCAGCAGCCACTAGCTGCATGTGGCTACTGAGCATTTGTCTAGTGTGGCTGAATAATTGGATTTTAAAATTTATTTAATTTTAGTTAATTTGATTTTAATTAAAATAGTGTAACCTTAGTGAACAGTACAGCTCTAGGGTCCTTAGAGGTCTCCAAACAGCCCTCACACTGAGAAGGTGGGGAAACTGAGGTTCAGGGAAGAGACAAGCCTTGCTCAGGGGGGCTCATGATCAGAAGCTGGCTGAGAACTCCTTTCCTTGATGCCACAGCCACTATCCCCTTCTCCATTCTCCAGTGCCTTCAAGGCTGAGGAAAAGCCATACATATCGTTGATAATTAAATAATACAAGAGGTGCAGAGCAGTCCAGAGCTAGGTGAATGCGCAGAAGGCAGGACTGGTTTTGACCTGGATGATCTGGAAAGATTTGCAGTCAGAGATGTATGAAGTGGAAGGGTGGAAGAGCTTGCAAAAGCCAGGAGGCGATAGAAACTATGATTTCCTAAAGCCAGATGTCTGGGAGGCTGTAAGATGGGGAAGCTCTTAATTCCCCCTAGGCAGAAGACCTCCTGTAGGGGCCTGCAGCTGGTAATGTTGCTGCAGAACCCATCTTCAGACATCGGGTAGGTCCTGGGTCAATCCTTCCCTGACTTTCTTCCTTCTCCCCCAGAGCAGACTGCGACCTCACAGTAGATGGGACTGCCTGGGGCAGAAAGAAGTCCCATCCCTGGAGGTCTGCAGCCATGCCAGAGCTTCCTGCAGATCAGCTCTACATTTCATCTGTGAGGGGAGCGTTGTCATCTACGTTTTATGAATAAAAACATGAAGGAGCAGAGATGGGGCCAGGCAGCCCCTCTGGGGACTCATGCATATGGGAGGCTGGACTAGGTAACTCACGAGGCATCCTCATGTCCAGTCTTTTCCAGGCTTAGGAAGGTAGTAGCCGCCACCCTGCAAGGACATGTTCCCCCTCACCTGGGGAGTGGAGAGCGGCAACTGCCTGGCACCGCACCCCCCCAAGGGCACAGCACACAGTGAGGCGCTCTGGGGAGCCCAGGGGCACCAGAAGGAGACAGGGCTTGGAGAGTGGCTCCCGCCACCTGGCAGCCTCCAGTGCTGTGCTGCTGGCCTCGGAGCAGGAGGCCTCCGCATCCTCATGGGGGCAGCAGTGAGCCAAGCTCGGGGGAGCGTTTAGGAGGAGGGGACTTGCTGTCTTGCCTCAGCAAATCAGGCCACTTGAGGCCAGAAGGTGGGTCCTTGCCCAGGTTGCCCTGACATTTGGGCAGTCTCTGACTCAGGAACAAGCCTCGTGTGAAGCAGGAAGGCGGGCCTATGGCCCTGAATAGGCCGCATCTCCATGCCTCAGCTTCCCCACCAGTGAAGGGGGCACCGCGCTTCCCCTTGACCAGGGGAGGGCCAGTGGAGGCAGCATCTGTCATCACTGTGCACCCCGAGGCGTGGCCACACAGCTCTGTGCCTGTGCCCACGAGTCACGGCTCCTAGTTGGAGCCGTGAGTTAGCCAGAAGTGAAGCTCAACAGAGAGAGACAGAGTCCTAGTCATTGCAGGCAGCTGGTAGCAGCATTGAGTTGTCACCACATGCGTGCCAATCCCTCTTCCTGAGCCCAAGAGGAAATGCAGGTCCTAGGGCCCAGGAGAGCTGTGTTACTGAACGTGTTCCTGCTCATCTCACCCTCAGTACCTGGCACACTAGGGTACTAGTTGGCAGAGGAGGGCCTGGGCTGATGGGTGGACTTCTGACTCTTGGCTCTGGGAAAGTCTCAAGCCCTTTTTCAACCTTGTCTGCACCTGTCAAAGGGGATCAGACGCACTGCGCAGAATTGCTGCGAGGTCCCTGGCCAGAGCCCCATGCACACTCACATGCACATGGACTTGAGTTCTCTCCCCTCATCCCCCTGCATCCCCATCTGACCTCACGGGCTGAGCTCACACCGCCCATGACGGCAAGGCCATGCCCAGAGGCAGGTGTCTTTGCCAGGCCTCACATCCCAGACCCATAGGCCCAAAGGACGGGCTGCAAGTCCAAACTCCGGCGCTCCCCCAGCTCCACAGTCCCTGACGAGGATCTCTGAGGCACCTGCCCTCTGAGAAGCGCCCCAAACCCCCGCCGCCCTCCTGCCATGATTCAGAGCACGGAGCAAGCGTGGGACTGACGAGTAAGGCGGTGTGGCTTGTCCCTGCACCCCGTCCCTCAGCTCTGTGAGGAGGGCTGGTGTCTCCAGAACGAGACAGCCACATACAGGAAGGGAGATTGGCACGTGACGTTACAGACCCATCTGAGGTGGAAGAGACCTGAGTGGCTGCATGTGCCTCCCCCATGCCTCACCTCTTATTTTGAGATCTGTACACTAGAGCCCAGGTGTATGCAGATGGCCAGATGAAACTGCTTTGGTACTTTGGTTCTTTGGGTGGGGATCTGGAGATTGGGCTCTGGCGCATGCGTAGGAGTCTGTTTATGCAATTTCACCACTTGCCTGCTTGGACACTAACCTGACCTCCCTTGCTGGCCCCCGAATGTGCTGACGGCAAGGGCGCCGGGCGAGGCTGTGGGACTCTGTGCCCATCTCCTCTCGGCCCTCTCCCCACAGAGAGGAGACCATTACCACTGTGGTGAAGAGCCCCCGTGGCCGACGCCAGTCCCCCAGCAAGTCTCCCTCCCGCTACGGTCACCCCACCAGCCTGCCCAGGCCAGGCCTGCTGGCTGCTGAGGTGCCTCCTTCGCCAGAGGCCAGCCGACCCTCCAGGCCCGAGGCAGAGCCAGGCTGGCGGCCCGCTGTGCCCACTCTGTTCGTGACGGAGCCTGAGACCCACACAGCAGGCCTGCCGGGGGGCACCAGGCCCCAGCCCAAATGGGTGGAGGTTGAGGAGACCATTGAAGTCCGGGTGAAGAAGGCCGGCTCAAAGGGTGCGTCTCTGGCCAGAGAGACGCCTGGCAGCTCTGAGGAGCTTTGCTTCACGCTGCCTGGAAGGGTGTCTGGAGGAGACCCAAATACAAACAACTCCAACAACAAGCTGCTGACCCAGGAGCCCCCGGCCACAGTCACTGCTGGAGAGCCCCTAATCTTCTGCGTGGAAACGGGGCCAGAGGGCCCTGAGCCGTCCCCTCCCTGGGGTGATGAAGAGGAAACCCCCCTGGAGGAGAGAGATGCCTCCCAGGGGGAGGAGCCGCTGGGTGCTGATGGTCTGCAGGGCCGTGACCCCAAGATCCTCATGCACCATGGCCGTGCCCTCACCCTGGCCGACCTGGAGGATTACGTGCCCCAGGAAGGGGAGACCTTCGGCTGCAGTGGCCCCAGGCCGAGTGCTGCTGATGACCCGCCCTGCGAAATCTCGGTGCTGCAGAGAGAGATCGGCGAGCCCACCGTGGGGCAGCCCGTCCTGCTGAATGTGCGGCGCCCCCCAGACTCCCGGGCCTCCCCTGGCTGCTTCGGCCGCGTGCCCAGGCCCCGGGAGGCGTTTCCATCGGGGCCGCAGGGCCGGGGCCCCACGGGCGTCTCCTTCTGCTTTCGGGAGGCCCGGGCTGGAGGCGCCGCGACCCAGAAGCCTTCCTTCTGCACTCAGGTTCAGCGCTCTGCAGACAGTGGCCAGAGCAGTTTCAAAACCGAGGTTTCAACCCAGACGGTCAGCTTTGGGACTGTGGGGGAGACTGTCACCCTACACATTCGCCCAGACCGGGACATGGACCCCAGCCCCTCCCAGGGCTGAGGCCAAGACCTGCAGGGACGGGGTGGCTGGGGCTGTGATGAGAGACTCTTGGATCTGGGACCCCACTGACGAAGCTGCCCTGCTTGCACGGGGCGGCGGGAAGAGGAAAGCGGCGTTGGGACCTGCCCGGCACCAGCATCAACTCAGCTCACAGCCGCCTTGGGTTTCCCATCAGGAGAGTCCCAAAGCAGGCACGCCTCGGACACGGGTGCTCTGACCTCCCCTGGCTGTCCACCAACTCAGGACTCCAGCCCGCCCTCCCCTTCCAAACCAGGCGATTCCTACCTCACAGGACTTGGTCGTCACCTGAGGACAGTGCACGCATCCGTGATCTCAGAGGTTCCTCAAGCTGCTCTGAGAGCACGGACCGGACTGACTCGCAGGCTGCCACTCTGGGCTCGGGGCTGCAGACACAAGGAAGGCGCTCAGGCATCCTTCCTACTCTGTTCACCAAGCAGGGGCCACATGGGCCCTGCGTGTGCCAGCTTAGGCCGCAGTCCCAGTGTCCAGGCCTGGTCCAGCCCTGGCTCTCACCCAGGCTGTGGGTCCCCTCAAACCCCATCTTAGCCCTGGACACCTTTCTTGGCCTCCAGGAGGCCTGTGTGGGGCCCAGCTCTACAGGCCCTCCTGGGCCTTCTCAGCAGGGTGGACCAGGGTCTGTGCATGGGAAGCAGTCCCATCAGTCAACCCTGATGATGCTAATAAACCGGTTCCTTGCATTGCCTCTGCTTTTCTCATTTTTGCTTCTCCACCTGGTGGTTCCGGCGTCTCAGGAGGGAGGGCCCTCTTGGCCCAGGAGACCCTGGAGACCAGCCAATGGACAGCCCGGGCCCTTTCCACTGGCAGCCCTGGGTGGACACCCAGCGTCAACCTGTGGGTCCTGGCCAGTCCTATGGGTCCTGGGTGGAGGCGTGGCAGCTCGCCTATCCAGCTTGCCCACATGTGGGCTACGGGGCTGGTCACAGGCGCACAGTGTGGCTGCAGTGTCCATAGTAGTTGCCCCCAGTCTGCTGGGGGTCAAGCAGGTCATCCTGCGTCCTGTGAGCCTGGGTCCTTTGTCAGAGCCATGCCGGCATGATGGGTCAGGGGTCCTGACAACCTCCTTGGGGTGGGGAAGCACAGGATGGTCGCCCCAGCACCACAAGCCGCAGACAGACAGCAGCATGCCCAGTGGCCTCTTCAGCCTGGGGGGCCCAAGAAAGTAGCACATCAACAGGAGGGAGGCTCTGGAGCATGGGAGAGCGCTCCATAGAGGGGGCCTTTCTGGAAATGGAGTGGTGGGCATCCCAGAACAGCCACAGGGGCACTGGCAGTCAGGTGGAGGAGGAGCTGAACTCGGGGCTGAGGGCAGGAAGCCAGGCGCCTGGAGGGTCTGAAGCTTCCCTTGGGGAGTTATGTGGGGGCTGGGCAGGGACCAGGTGACAGTGTGGTGGTCTGGGTCGGGCTGCTGGGTGGGGAATGGGGGCTGCCCTGGGAGGCAGGAAGGCAGCCCGCCCTGTGAGGAGCTCTCGGCTCCTGATCTGGCATCAGGCTGTGCTTATCTTTCCTGGAACGTGGGGCTGGACCCACCTGGGCCTGGGTGACCTAGTACCCTCGGATCCAGAGTGGGATACAGAGCAAGGCCAGCCCAGGATGACGGAATGGGACTGAGACCGAGGGGCCGCCCAAAGTGGACGATGGGGGTCTAGGCCCAGCTGTCCCTGTGGGAACTGACGTTCTCATGAGGGCATCTGGGCGACACCCTGGGGGTGGACCAGTCTAGCACATGCTGCCTGGAGTGCCATTTCTGGCACAGACCCCTTCTCAGGGGCCTCCACCTTCCGTGCTTCCTGAACCCAACAGGTGGGAAGGGTTGCCCTCATCTCAGCAGTGTCCCCCTCATGGGCCCCAGCCCCCCTCACTCCTGTGCGTCTACCTGCCTCTCCTACAGACGCTGCCGTCCCAGCCCCCACTGCCTCTCCTACAGACGCTGCCGTCCCAGCCCCCACTGCCCCAGGGCAGGAGAGCACGCCCATCCAGAGGACACAGACGTGCCCTGAGGCTCCAGGACCTTCCACAGGGGATCACAGCAGCCCCAGCCCCAGCCCTGGAGGGCCGCCTGCACTCNAGACCAGACCCGGGTGTGCTGCGGGGCCCTACCCCCGGCCCAGGGGCTGAGGTGCCTGAGTCTGTGCTCAAGGACCCGGTGCTCTTGGAGCCCCTGCTCTGTCTGTGCTCCTGTCTGCTGGGCCCCGGAGGTGGATGCAGAGGCCTGTCCTGGGGAATTGTCCCCACCCCTGTCCCGGGCTCCATCTCACCGCGCCCCTTGCCTCCCACCAGGCGAGCCTCCGAAGGCGCCTCAGGCTCACTCCCAAGAGGGCCTGGAGCAGACGGCTCAGGCACACGCTGAGGTCCCGGAACGTACGGTGCCCATCCGGTAACCTCCCAAGCTGGCTGGGGGATGGGGGGATGTCCTGGTGGCAGGGTGGGGCATGGGAAAAGGAGAGCAAGGGGTGGGATCACAGCACCCCTGCACTCTCCTTACCAGGGCAGGGGGAGGCCACCCCTGGGGCAAGGAAGGTGGGGGGAGCTCACTTCTTTACCTAGGCTTGGGGCCACGGGCTCTATATCCCCTGCCAGAGAGTCTCCTGCAGCCCCCTGAGTAGGCAGGGGCAAGAACGCCATCTCAGCCTCCCATGCCCCAAGAGTGGAAGGGTGAGGCAGACAGCTAATTCCACTCCATGCCCCAGGATGGAGGGCCCTGCCTGGCCAGGAGCAGGTGAGCTCTGGGACGTCCACAGCCACGTGTTCACGGAGACCACACACAGGACGTATGTGTATCAGACCAGCGACACGCCTGCTGCAAGTAGGTGGGGGCCTGGCAGGTCGCACGTGTGCCTTCCATGCCCAAGGCTAAGGAGAGATTTCCATGGAAAGGCCGGCAAAGCCGCCTGGCACATCCCAGCCTTACTGTGGCCAGGGCCCCTGCTGCCTATCTGCCTGGGTCCCCTCAGAAGGCATCACTGGGAGGGAAGAGGAGGCAGCAGTGACCCGGACATCAGGGCCTTTACCCCATGCAGAGCTGGCATAGTCTTGTGGCCCGCCCTCAGAGAGCTGAGGCTGAAGCAGGAAAGACAGGGGCTGCATTTCTGGACCGTCAGGGATGGGTCCCTTCCCCTGGAAGCAGCTGGGCTCTTTCACCCTGGAGTATGTCTCAGGGCCTTCCTGCCCAGCTCGGGCAGCAAGACACACCTGGGGTTGCTGCCAGTCCACCCATGTCTGGGTCTCTGTGAATGGAGGCCAGGCATCAGAAGATTTCAGAGCAGGATAGGCTATGGCAGACGCAGCCTGGCTCCTGCCCACCGGCTGCTTCCCCTACCCCAGGCCCACCGTCCATGCAGGTCACCATTGAGGACGTTCAGGCCCAGAGCGGCAGTACGGCGCAGTTCCAGGCTGTCATTGAGGGCAACCCGCAGCCCACAGTGACCTGGTACAAGGTAGGGGCAGGCCTGGGTGAGGGCCTGCCTGCGGGAGGGGCGAGGTGTAACACCCCCTCTGGACTGGACACGGCACTCACCGATGGTCAGGCTGGGCCGTGGTGCTGGGGTCCCCCAGGGTGAACTGATGGCCTCCCCACCCTCCCGTGTCTCCAGGACGGCACCCAGCTGGGAGCTGACCCCCGGCTCAGCCAGCAGCAGGAAGGGACCACCTACTCCCTGGTACTCAGGGACGTGGCCCAGCATGACGCGGGTGTCTACACGTGCCTGGCCCACAACCCTGGCGGCCAGGTGCTGTGCAAGGCGGAGCTGCTGATCCACGGGGGTGAGTGCGGGACCCCTTCCCAGGCCTTGTCTTGGCTCCATGCTGGTGTGGGGGCCATGGGTATGGGGGTCTCCTGAGCTCTCACAGGTTCAGGCATGGGAAGCTGCTCCAGCATGAAGTTGGGGGACAGAGGGGCTGGGTGATCATCTTTACTCACTCTTACAGCCTCCCCTTCCCTGGCCACGCGGGACAGTGAGCGCAGCTCTAGGAGGAAACTGCACTCCTTTTATGAGGTCATGGAGGAAATTGGAAGGTACCGTCCCTATCCCAGCTCCAGGAGCCTCGTCTGCTGGAGCCCCACCCCTCTAAGACTCGCAGGCCCAGCCTCCCAGAGTTCCTATGTGCCAATTTCTGACCAGGAGCCCCCAGCCCTCCCGCCCACTGCACCCCTACCATCCCCCCTTAGAGCTCGCTGAACTCCCTCAACCCAGAGCCCTGCCTCCCCAGCCCTCACCTTCTGGAGCCCCTGCCTCCTGCAAACGCCCGTCCACAGAGTACCCGCTGCCCATGCCAACTTGGCCTCCTCCAGTGCCTGCTGCCGCAGCCCCTGCTCTCTCGGCACCTCTCCTGTCAGGAAACCGCCTCCCCCAGGAGCCCCGCCCCAAGCCCCGCCCCCAGGAGCCCCGCCCCCAAGCTCTGCCCCCAGGAGCCCCGCCCCCAAGCTCTGCCCCC